GTTATTATAATGCCAAGTATCAAAAACTAGAGCATTTACTTTTTTTTATTTTAGAAACAGTAGGAGGGTATTCGGTAAGTAAGACACGCAGTGCGGATATATAAAATAAAATCCTTTAAATAAAATAAATGTGTCAATAGAATCATGAACATTGTTTCTGTGGTATCTACCACGTTAAGTATGCACTATATATGCACTATATATGATACTATATATGCCCTTGAATTTTTACTAGATAACATTTTTGTTCGCTTTGGAGATTCCGTATATCGTCAGGTTATCGGAATTCCAATGGGGACTAACTGTGCACCACTTATTGCGGACCTTTTTTTGTATTGCTATGAGTTACAATTTATGACAAAAATCAGCAAAGACCAATCGAAACAACATCTGATACACAAATGTAATAATACTTTTAGATATTTGGATGATATTTTGGCTCTCAATAATGACGACTTCAGTATGTATACTAAAGAAATTTATCCTGTTGAACTTACTTTAAATAAAGCTAATACTAACAATGACCACTGCCCTTTCCTCGATCTTGATATCTATATCATTAATGGAAAGCTTAATACTAAAATATATGATAAAAGAGATGATTTTTCATTTCCTATCGTTAATTATCCATTTTTAGATGGTGACGTTCCCTTGTCACCATCTTACGGTGTTTATATATCTCAACTTGTACGATTCGCTCGTGTATGTAACAATGTTTTAGATTTTAACGAGAGAAATTTATGTATTACTGAAAAATTATTACACCAGGGTTTTCGATATCGCAAACTAGTCAAAACATTTACTAAATTTTATCATCGGTATAAGGACATCATTCGTAAATATAGCTCAACATGCAGACTTCTTATACGTTCAGGTATTTCACATCCAATTTTTTATGGAAATATTCTTTACAAAGCACAAAAATGTCAGTATTCACCTCTGAAGATAACAAAACCTTTAAATAGACTTATTAAGAAGGAATATAGTTACGATACTGTTGTCAGGTCATTAAAGATTGCATATTTTGGCGTTAATATTGATTCACTTATAGGGTCTTTGCATCGGCACTAAACACATTTATTTAAAAACCAGTTGTTGGCATGACACGGGTTATGTTCTTCTCATATATGTTATGATGGTATGATACTAAACCCCTAACGGGAAGGATTGTGCCTGATATTCATATGATGAAGACATAATCTTTCAATCAGTTTAATTGAAGTCTGGAGCTGGCATGTCAGTTAACTGCTAGTAGTCTGTTGTTATTTATGTATTATTGTCATTTTGTTTATTTTCTTTGGTTACATCTTTTGACATCAGACTCGGACTTCTCTTGAACTGAATTTTAATGTGCGTATTGTTATGCGTTTACTTTTCTACATTGGCTAGAGGTATAGGGGGAGGGTTGAGATCTCATAAACATGTTTAACCCCGCCGCATTTTTGCGCCTGTCCCAAGTCAGGAGCCTCTAGCCTTTGTTAGTCTTGTATTATTTTTAATTTTAGTTTCTTGTGTACAATTTGGAGTTTAGTATGGCGTTCATTATCACTGAACTAGTATATATATTTGTTTAGGGGCCAGCTGAAGGACGCCTCCGGGTGCGGGAATTTCTCGCTGCATTGAAGACCTGTTGGTGACCTTCTGCTGTTGTCTGTTCTATGGTCGGGTTGTTGTCTCTTTGACACATTCCCCATTTCCATTCTCAATTTTACTCGTAATGAGGCTAATATTGTGGTTTTACACAAATACGATAAAACAACAAAAATATTGTGTGAGTATATGACGATTCACATCTACCTTTATAGGAAATATTCAGACAACAATATATAGAACTGACGTCTCTAAGCCATTTATGATGTTTTGTGTTACATTCATTTAGAACAAGTCAAGCAGATGAGGAAAGACATAATCAAAAAGTGATTTTCTATATAACCAATCGGACTAGGGTTATGCAGTCAGGCGATGTTGTTTTGAAGTCTTTGTGTATTGACGTATTTTGCAAATAAATCAGAATTAAATACCTATAAAACAAACAAAACAACTCCAATTATTTGTAAATGAGCGAAATTGAGAATATACGTCACAATAATGAAACGTGATAGTCTGGTTTGTCGGGGTTAAGGACAACTTAATATTATAATATATTGACAAGGCATGAAGGCCAAGCAAAGTATGCCAGAACTGTGGCACATGAAATAAATATTCATTTAAACACTCAGTCTGGTTTTTGACCGTTCTACAAGCAATCATCAAAATTGTTCTTTGACACTGATAATCATGGTCATTGTCCTGGCGTTCAGTGATACATTAACTTGTGGCCCTCATATCGAGTTCGGGCATTGCCATAGTAAAAGTAAAAACATTGAGGAATAAGACATTCTTTCTAAACAGGCCGTTAGTGTATTCTCCTGTCATAAGTTTTATTCTAAACAGGCCGTTCATGTATTCTCCTGTCATAAGTTTTATTCTAAACAGGCCGTTCATGTATTCTCCTGTCATAAGTTTTGTTATAAACAGGCCGTTCATGTATTCTCCTGTCATAAGTCTTATTCTAAACAGTCTCCTGTAATAAGTTTTATTCTAAACAGGCCGTTCGTGTATTCTCCTGTCATAAGTTTTAAACTAAACAGGCCGTTCGTGTATTCTCCTGTCATAAGTTTTATTCTAAACAGGCCGTTTATGTATTTTCCAGTCATAAGTTTTATTCGAAACAGGCCGTTCATGTATTCTCCTGTCATAAGTCTTATTATAAACAGTCTCCTGTCATAAGTTTTATTCTAAACAGGGCGTTCGTATATTCTCCTGTCATACGTTTTATTCTAAACAGGCCGTTCGTGTATTCTCCTGTCATAAGTCTTATTCAGTTTTACTATCAGTAAATCAGATTACTATGTTATTTTGTTTTGTTTGACTTTTTCCATAATTATAGTATTTGTGTTAAGTAATGAATTAATAAAATGAACAATGAGCTTGAACACTTTTTAAATGTGTTGAACCTATTTTGGTCATAGGTACATGGGGACAGGACAATTTTTTTAGCCCTCCCCCTTTTTTCCAAAATCCTTCTTTTTTTGGTTGTTGTCTATTCATTTCAATTATTTTCGCGTTTTTCTGTATACTCTGATCATAAATATACTATAAATAGCTTGTATTTGCTGTTTACTATCAATTCCAAGTTTTACTATCCACAGCGGTCACTGATATATTATATAGACCTATGATTTTGGTAGCAAACAATAACGTTAAGACTATTTGCATCTCTATTGGTATCAATATGAAAAGTGGTCACCTTGGTCAGACCCCCCCCCTTAAAATAATTGATTCAAATAGTTTATTGTACAAGTTTCTATTTATTTATTATCTTATTCTTTTGTTTGTTTATTTGCTTCGTGTGTTTGTTGGTTTGTATTAAGGGAAGGGGGCTTAACTTAACATGTCTTATAAATTCCACTGTCTGCCCCTCAACCTCCAACCTCCCAAAGGTACATTTTGTGTAATTTTTCCAGCATTCAAAAATCATGTTCATTTAATTGATAAAATGAACAGGAGGATACAATATGGACACTTATTAGTGCAGAAATATCACTCTTGGTATCACTACGATGTCACAGTTAAACTTTATTGACATCATTGTATAAGACATCTTGTAGCAACATATATTTCCGAGTAAACCTTGGATAATATAATTTTTGATCATTAGTAATTAAATCGTCGAAATAAAGCTTTATAGATTTCATGCGTCCGAAGCGCTTTTCTGGATTTACCTTCATCGGAAACGCTGAACGCCGAATATTTGAAAGCTAAGGATTTTTAAGAACCGAAACAGTTGAAGAACTATATGAACAAAAAGGACAATTCAACAAATAATTGTTAAATTCAACTAAGGTCAAAGTGAGGCTACTGCTTGCCAAGATGAAAGCATGAATTGTGTAGCTCTTAATCAAATATGTAAGGCAAAGTCAGAAAATATCATAACTTTTATTTGACAAACTGATGTCGTATGGACATTTGAAAAATCTCACTTGATAGATTTACAAAAAGGACCTCCTTTTTACATTTTATAGTATGTATATAACGGTATATTTATGCATATTCAATTTAACCCGTTTTGGAATATTTTTTTTTCGGATTGAATACTTTCTTTTAAGATGTACGTGCAGCTAAGATTTTCCAATATCACCAAACATATGCAAAAATGTACAGAAAGCGTATAGCGGAAAATGTTTTATTGGTGCATGTAAACGAGTAAAGTGGTTGAATGAAGTTTTCGATATACGATCAATATTTGAAGTTTATTGTAATCGAATCATCGTTTTGCATAAAACACCAGTCAATCATTTTTGTTGTTCACAAAATGCCGATCAACCATTTATAGGTTCGCATTTTCCGTTATTGAAACATCATTTATTTAGAAATGTCTATCGTATAATATTCATGTGCCTGTCTAACATCAGGAACCTCGTCAAAAGTTTTTCAAAGTCCTGTCTTAATGTTTTCATTTGTTTGGAAAATTTGCTGTTTAATGCAGAACTTTGAAATATTTCTGTTAAATTTATTTACTGCGATTTTGAGGTTAACAATTGGCATATAAGAAAGACACCAGTCCTATCTATTGTTGAAGACTGTATGTTGCCCTCTTAGATTGGTGCATTTTTAGTTATTGTCATGGTTAGGTATCTGTCTCATTGACGTATATAGCACATCTCCTTTTATCCATGGTTAGCTCCAGCAAAAGCTTATATAAATGCGAACAAATAAAACAAGAATTGCATAGTACAGTTAACTCTTCAGCTATTATCATATTTAATTATATGAAAGGCCAAGAAAGACAACTCCTGTATTTCTGAACGAAAATGACGCCAAGTGATTTGATTAAAATGAACAAAATGAATACTTTTTATGAGTCAGGATCGCAAAACAAAATAAAACGAAATACCGCGGTTAAACTAGCTGTGGCGAAAATCTTAGCCTTTCGCCATATAACACAAGAACATCTGAAATTTAACTTAACGTTTTAATAAAAAACGTGAAATAACTCATAACAGTTAAACGCATTTTCTCAAAAATATCACAGATTAGATACATGTAAATGCGAATCAAAGCAAAATAAACTACTTAGATAAACTGCAGCGTATTCTAAATTTAAACATAAAATTCATCTGGCCATACAATTGTTTTCAAACTGAATGCATAAATTTTGTTTTTAAAATATCCATGTAAAATTATTTTCATTTTTTACTACAAAGCGTTTAAAAATACATTTGACATTTTGATATTCAGTCAAAGTTAAACGGTTGTTTGCACCTTTCTTCTGATCGTGTTCAAAGTACCGGTATATTGAACCAATTTCGATTGTCCTTTAATGATAGTTGATAAAATACCTGTCAATCAGAAATGAACAGAAGAAACGTGTTCTTTATAACCTTGTTCTCTTTTCATTATATATATTTTCAATGTTATTTTATACAAGGTTTGTTTTAAGAAGCAAATATTTAACTACGATCTGTCACCCTCATAAGCCAGAAAATTTCACTTTCGTCTTGAAAATTTCTCTTGAATAGAAAAGGACAATCACTTTAGAAACGTAAAAATATTTACTAATTTGGAATCGTCAGTCCTTCTTTGTCAAATTTTGGCGTCGGCGTCCTGCGCTTACTAGATCCAGGACGTGTTATATGACAATAACATGATCTGAATCTGAATATTTTGACACAATGTGGTCCGGCAATGCTGAATTCTGTAACAATCAAGTGACCTTCCTCGCCTATTGCGCATGTTTGTACAGGACCGGCTGCATCAGCAGGACAGATAGCTTGTTTCAGTAACGCTCCTCTTTCAGAATAAACATTGACGGTATGGTTGAGAGAGTCTGTAACAACAAGGTCACCGGTTCTATCGATGCATATTCCCGATGGAACAATTGATAATCCCTCTCCCGTAGGCTGAGGTGTAAATCTGTACAAGAGTCTGCCGTCGTATGTAAAATATTTAATTAAACAGTCAATCGTATCACAAACTATTACTTCCGATTTATTATTCACACATATTTGGCACCCTGCTTTAGTCTTTTCAAATCCCCCGAGGGGGAAATTGTGCAAAAGTTTTCCTCCTCTTCTGTATATTTCTATCGTTCGAGCGCATGTACAAACGACAATATTGAAACTTTTGTCACAAGAAATACTAAAAGGTTCGTGTGAAGTCGCAAATTGGTATTTAAAATTCCCTTTTGAAGAAAAGACCTGAATCCGTCTGTTATTTTTATCGGCTACTGCAATGTCGCAGTTCGGTAATTCTGTTACTCCAGTTGGTTCGTTGAACTGTCCCTCTTTAAAACCGCGCTTTCCAAAAGCCCTCATTAATACGCCAAACTGGTTTAATACTTGAACTCTGTGGTTCTTTGTGTCCGCTATCAAAATAGCGGAATCTATGGTTGCTGCCAAGCCTCGTGGGTAGTTAAAATCTCCTTCGGCTCTGCCTCGTAACCCAATGTTGAACAATAATTTATTTGGCCTACAAATGAAAAAAAATCAAAGTAAGTAATTGGTTGAAAAACTACCAAAAAGGACTGTTGTCGTTTTCTCCCCCTCATTCATTGCTTAATCATTTTTTTACTATTTTTGTGGTATTAAATTTGTGGCAAAACTTACACATTCATATATCCAAGAATACAGAACGCCATTTCTTTCCAGTACATAACTGAACGTCACAATACGTTGCTATATGACGTTATAGTCTTATTGATATTTGGCTCTTGAGGTGCCAGACCACCAATTCACCCACTTCAATTTAGAATATATGTAAAAGTAGCCCTTCCCTGACTAAAAACTAGTGCCTTTGATGTCTTTGTTTACTAAACTAACAAACAAATTTGCAGAAATAAAACTTTTGATGAAGAGAAGTATATGTAGAGCATTTTGAGCCAAATTTTACTTGTCCATGATTTTGTATCAAAGTTGAGGGTTAATCTAAGATTTCCAGAAAACCAGGGGTTATTTTTAGTAGCAGTTGGGTTCCAAACGGTGGTGTTTCATTACAAGACTTTAAACATTGGTTGAGAATTAGCATATAGAAAGGTGAAACATGTTCAATTCAGAATATGGCCCGAGAACACAGTTATTTCGTAGTGCATTTCTTTTAGACAATAAATGAAAATTAAAAAACTCCCACCTGCGCTTTCTCAATGATATTTTTACAGTGTGGTGTACTACGTTTTGGACAAATTATAGAAAAATTCATCAGCTCTAACTCAAAATATGGACAATTTTATGTTAAGGGGGTCTTTAATTCTTTTGACAGCTTCCGAAATACTAACTTGTAACCTGTTTTAACTGGACCAAATCACTACTTTACTTTAAAATTCACGACCCAAATTTTTTTTAAAGTGTAATTTCATCCCCTACTTGCTATTTGAGGCATAAAACATGCTTTTGAATGGGGACATATATGGTTGAACCCCCCCCCCCCCCCCCCCCCTTTATCCTGGGTTGGAACCCCCTTTTGAAAATGGCTGTATCCGCCCCCTGTATCTAATATGCTAACATGTAAATGTCAAGGTAAGCAGCAAATACCAATGTTTGGGTTTGCCAGGGATAATATAGGGATCAAAACACATTTCCCCGTACTATACGCACACAAGAAGATTGGTGGTTTCGAAAATTTGAGATAACATAAAAAAATGTATTAGAAATTGAGAGAAGGATTATAATTTTACTTTTTAATGCCATCTTCTGTTTTCTCTATTTTTTTCACTCTTAAACTGTCCGTGCTTTTTCTAGTTTCGGCTAATCCTTTTGCTAATACCCAAGCTTCCCATTCCCGCCGATCTCTCAAATCTTTCATGGATTCTTGTCGACAGTCATGTGCTGAAAAGATTGTAAAAAACATTATAACAAACACATTATGAATAAACAAAACAGCCACCAAAAATTGTTGTGAAATAACAATAGCATATATGAGTATTAACTATTTAGTTTTGAAAAGTAATGTAAATACATAGAAATGCAATATTAAATGAATACTAAGTGGAAATGTACGATAATTGTATGTTACTGAATTACTGAAGTGTGTAAAACAAATTAGATATGTATAAGACATTAGTTGAGAAACAAATCATTTGTCGTTATCCTTATCTATTGTCTATTTATATCCATTTCTTTTCATATCTGAAATTTGTTGAAAAATCAACTGACGGAAGAACAGAACCAACCACCATAAGTAAAACTATTTGAATAAAATATTTAAACTTTAATATTTGTTTTGGTAACTTTGAGTTCATATCAGTTCCAACAACAACACGGGTTGACTAGGCCAGGTGAACAGAAGAATGTTCACCTGGCCGATCTTTGAATCTTAAAGAACCATGCATTAAATTCCTCTTTGAGTGATCCATAAGTAATGTTTCCCTTCCCAACGTATACTTTTTCCAGTGGCAATTCGAAACATTTCGCTCTTCATCTCAGTCAACCCTCTGCAAACACTTCTATTTAGTACACTCAGAAGGTGGATTAAATCGGGTATCAGATCCGAGCCTGCTACCTAACTGAATTATTGTTAAATTTGTTATTTTATCATTGATATATTTGAAACATTTGCCACTGGACGTTGATTAAACAGCGATCAATAAATCATATCAAAGATTTTGATTTCTGAATTATTGAAGCCATATTCCTGTCCTATTTTTATTGGATACCCCGTATCACCGAATATGGCTTTCAACAAATTATAACATGAACAACACGATGGGTTTGTACGAGTGGAGTATGGATTATGATCTGGGCATATATCTCGAACTACAGTAACTGTTAGCCGAATGTTTGTTTTGCTCGAACAATAACTACCTGTTTAATATTTGTGGTGTATTATTTGTTATTGTCATTTAGACTGACCCCTTGGTATTTGCTTTTTTTACTCTTTTTTTTTAGGGGTGTGGAAAGGGGGGGGGGTCTTTTCTTACTTCCTTTATTGGAACTAATTATGGTAATATCTAGCTGCACTAAACATCATCTTCAACTACGTTAAAAGATGTCCTTGAGATAAGCAGCTAAAAACATTGCTTTCATCTGCAAATATTGTTATCGCTTTCCCTTTCCATTTTTTTAATGATCCATATGCTAAGAACATAATGATTATTACACCGTTAACCTCTCTGTCACATCTAAGCTAAATATATCATTCAAATTATGATTTTAGCAACTAAAATATGAAAATAATAATCTAGCAAATTCAATAACCATCTAAAATCATACTTTCCCATTCCGTTTCTGCTGAAACAAAACATATGTAATTTGAGCTGCGGCCTTAATATTGATATTTCGAACTAGCCATGTTCACAATGGCTTATAAATGAATGCGAGAATATGGTTTTAATTGTTGCAAAATCTCGGCTCATGGTCTATTCTCATAGGCACTTCTCTCTGAAATGTTTTTTACTCATAAACTTTCATATATAGGCGAAAAAATTCAGAGACTAGTGCCTGTGCCTATTCTGTAAAGGCTACGTTTTCACATAAAATTTTAAAAATAAATTTTAACAATATTTCTGTTATCTTATACACGTTTCTATGTTTACTGTTCGTGTGTTTATGCGCGTCTTTAAATAAACATTGTCCATGGGTCCGAGGTTGACCATTAACTAATTTTGAAGTAAGTACAAATATTGATTTAAAGTTGCAATTTTTGTTGCACTGGTTAAAAGCGATATATCTTCAATTTGTTAACCAACGCCAAAATGCATTGTAATCATTCGAAGCTCAGTCACCCCCTTCTTTCTTTCGTTCTTTCTTCCCACTTATATTTTTATTGGTTATATGGAAAAGTGTATTATTTTCATTTATTTGCGTACTGGCTGATTCTGTTTTTGTCTTTGTAGGTTCAATCAGCAATTGTCATTGTGGATAAGTCTAATGTGATGGACTTTTGGAAAGGACTCCCACTTTTTATCTATGATACTCCTCTATTCTAATTTTCTCATAGAGGGTTATGATATATAAAATATTATTATACTTCATGTCATAATGCCAGATTTTGATTGGTTAATACGAGGGAGACAATTTACTCTATCCCATGGCAAATACTCTATAAATAATTACCCTTCACGGAGACGCTTGCTCAAGTGTGAGATTTATTATACGGATGATTGTTATGTACAAGACGACATAGTTTATTACTTTGAATTTGAAATTTAATAAACAGTAATAACAGAACATTCAGTATAATAAATTAAATAACACATATCTGAGAGGGTGATAGAGCAGATTGTTAACTCTCGAAAAGACATTGTCAACCTTGGCTTCACCTCAGTTGACAATGTTTTCTTGGGGTAACAATCTGCTCTATCACCCTCTCAGCTATGTGTTATTTATATACTGTTATTGTAAAATCGTATCGATCAGAGCAAGAACACATTAAAAAGTGAAGATAAAGAAAAAATTTAGATACAAAAAATATCTACAGAGAAAAAGGGGGTCCATTCCCCAGGCGCCTGTTTGGTGGATCTGTTTGGTGGATCTGTTTGGTGGATTGTTACTTAAGTTATTGACAAGTTAATTTTTTTTTAAAAGCATAAAATAAGGGATAAATTAAAACACTAAGAATTGTTACAAAAAAAATTCAGATATTAAAAATATCTACAGAGAAAAAAGGGGGGGGGGGGTCCATTCCCCAGGCGCCTGTTTGTTGGATTGTTACTTCAAGCTATTGACAAGTTAATTTTTAACAACATAGAATAAGGGATAAATTAAAATACTAAAAAAAAATTAATAAAAAATCGAAAATATGAAAATTGTGTGGTAACATGCAGCACATAATTAACCTACAGCAACAATGGTGGGAGAATATGATATTGAGTGGAGAAGTAAAAAGGGGGGGGGGGTCTAACAATAATACAGTATTTTTCAAAGAAAAAGAATTGTAGTGCTGATTTAAATGGGCAGTTCATGGGAACATATGGAAATCATTCAGCCGATCATTTATTGAAATATAAAAAATCAGATCTATTGAAGACAATTATATACACGACCAACTGTTTCACTTGGAGAAAAGAACCAATAGCGTGTAAAAAGTATTTTCATTTGAGTTAATGTTTTGCTCAAATGTAGTCTCAATCTCATATTACATTTAATATTCATGCATAGATCGATGTATTTTGGATTGTTATGTCGTTTGGTTGCTGTCTCATTGTAATTTTATTATTGATAATAACAAAAAACTCTCTCCAATCCAGTGTTGCAGAACTTTTGCTTCCGCCACTGTTGGACATGAATTAAAATTTTTAAGAAAATAAAAAAAGTCGGACATGAGGCAAATTAGTCAAGAAAGTGCGGGTCACAGTGACTGTCCGGCCAGTTTCAAATTTCCTTTCAAATTGGCCCCTGTTTACATACTGCGTGATTCTTGTGTAGAACTTTACTCTTTATGCCCTGTTTATACAAGGAACTTACCCTTTGGTCTTCTGTGGAATATATACGGAGATCGTTCGTGATACAGCTCTTTTAACGATGGCACACTGGAACGAATATCCGGTGAAGTGTATCCATGGCCGTATAATCTGTAACGGGACAGATAATCCACCATGATGGCCTTCTGTAAACAGATATTATAATTAGGTAAAATAATGCCGCTTTAAAATAATTCTAAAGGAATTCCACTCCTCTGATCTCTATACGATATTAAATATCGTAAATTATAAAGCACATTTACGTGAGCCTTGTTAGTGAATGTTGTTAAAGGAGATGTGGACACAGACACATGTCTCTGATGAGGGTATTGCGTCAATGAGACAGCAACACAACGACTTAATTAACCAAAAGAAATGTAGAATTCTCTGTTTATAAAATTCTATACAATTCTGCATATATGGAGAGAATTGTAAATAAAGGATATGATTGTTAAAGAAAGTTTGGCGGACTCTATTTAAAATAGTTTTAATTGGTCGGCTTTTTATATGGTGAACGTCGATCAGACGATTTCTAAAAAGGAGAAAAGGATGTTATTGTTTTGCATAATCATGTCCTCCTACCGTTTGCAAACCAGTCTTCAAAATTTCTAAAAGTGTATATATATAGATGTGTTCCACACTTTGTTTATAGTTATGGAGAACTTTTGCAGATTTTTGCAGATGGTGAAATATAGCAAATTCTCAGAAACATTTCTGAAAGGGGTGCACATTTTATGTAATTATCTCCTCTAAAATTTTCACCAGGGTTATCTTGATTTCTAGAATGTCTATCTGTACACATTGACATTGACACACACCCACCTTTCTGAACATTTATGGAGAATTTTTGTTTGTTTAATATCTCCTGGGAGACTGGTTTTTCTGGCGTTTAATAAAGTTGTAGATTTTCTAAACTAGATTTCAAATAAATGCTCTCTACAGCATATCAAAACAACCCCAACACATCAAAACTTGTCAATATAATTTTCCAAGTCCCAGTTAAATTCTTATGTATTTACAAAATCAAACAAATTCCTATATCATGGTATAAAATCAAGGATAAGAAATTCCAAATCAATATCATTATCTTTGTACGATTTCACACAAGCATGGATGAAACATGGGCTGTGGTTGGAATTTTCCTTTAACAAACCATCCCTTGTGATTGTATTTCCATGTACCTAATTGTTCGCAGTTGTTATTAATTTCTAAAATGAAGTTTACACAGAAAAACTTTGTAAAGCATCTATAGAAAGAGTACTTTTAAAATTTCAAAGGGATATTGAATGTTTAACAAAAATCAATTAAACCCCAATATTGATGACTGATTAGTTTGTTTTTTAAATGTCAAAGATAAACAATTAGAAAAGGTCGTTTTGAAAACCTGATCACTCATGTAATCGACCTGCTCAATTATTCATGGCATAAAAAGGGGGAGGTGTAAAATTCACAAACAAAAATCAAAATGACATTTAAATATTTTTCAATATCAAACGCGAGACATTTAAATTCAATGACTTAAATTTTATTCAATGGCATGTATAAAGAAAGATATGTACTCGACAAAAATCACCTAAGGAATTTAACTTCTAGACTGGTTTAATTGATTTTCGGTGCAATGATAAGATCGAAATCGTAATTATTATAAAGTATGATATCTTCGTTATATATTTAATATATGTCAAAAACATAAATGAAATCCTTATGAACCCAAGATAAACAAAGATCATACAAAACTAATAAAACGAAATATTCCAATTGTAAAATTTAATCCTATGTAGATCTCAATCTAGACATGTAATTTGGCACGCATCGGGATCAACACGTCCTATGAAATCGACAAAAATATAAGTAAATAATGAAAATTACATACCTGACTATATTTGAAAGGAAATGTGTGATCTTTTACATATCTCCAGACATACGTTAACGGTCTTATCGGATATCGGGTAGCTTCGCTAGCAACGGAAGTCCCGAAACAAGCTCAAACACGCAGGACACCCGTTATAGTAAAATATATATGTTTACGTTTTAAATGAAAATCACTGGAGGTAAACTAAACTTGTCAATCAAAGTTCGATAACAAAATGTCTATATGATCTATATCAAGGATTTACAAAGTCTATATCATTGTTAAATTATATTAATTATCTGTTGTTTATTCGCTCCACTTGTCTAAATTGTACGTGGATCAGTGGGTCGAGAAGGGCAGAATATGAAACTACGCTTTTTAAAACAATTATTTAAAAAATTAAAAATTAAAAGTTAAAACAATCGAATCAGATTTATTGTCATAACATATGTAACATATGTCATAACATATGTATATCTTTTTGGGCTGCTTGTTTGTTATCTATATCAACCACACTTGCAATAAAATGCATTAGTATTAAAAAAAAAGCATACTATAGATTCTTTATCTACGTATTCTTTAAGAACTTAAATAGTTCTTGTTAAACTTTCTTTTTTTTTTATCTCATTGTTTGTATTGTATTATGAAAAATTATTGACGTTGTAATGTTTATGCCCTTTGGGGCCCATAATTGGAAATAATAATTGTAATTGTATATATGTATATATATGTATATTAACATACCAAGAATTCAAAATAATAAGAAATAGTGCAAAAGTATCATTGGTGGATTAAGAGGAGGGTGTGGGGTCGGAGGTCGGGGTTGAAACCCCCTCTTTCTCGATTTTTTTATTCGTTGCCTTAGATCAATATCTAATTACCTATGTACATTGTAAGTACTATTTGAAATCATACGTCAAGGAAAACTATTTGAGAATGAAAACAAATGATAAAAATAGTTTCGACTTAATCTGTTAAATAACTTTGTAATATTTTAAATGTCAAAGATTAATTAAACAAAACAGTAAATCCACTAAAATCAAGTGTCGGATTAGAGTGAGGCTTCTTGCAGGCCTCCCTTTGTGGTGAAGGGTTTGTTTTTGCATTTTGTCTTTTAAAAAAGAAAAAGGTGGGCTTTGGAGTACAAGGCGAAAGAAAAAAAAATATGTTTTATCGTTCCACTAACCTTCTCACTTGCTTACTGTTCGGTGTGAGCCAAGGCTCCGTGTTGAAGACCGGACTGTGACCTATAATGGTTTACTTCTATAAATTTTGACTTGGATGGAGAGTTGTCTCATTGGCACTAATACCACATCTTCTTATATCTATATATGTCGGGTTGTTGTTTTTTTGACACATTCCCCATTTCCATTCTCAATTTTATTGACGACCTATGCCAATAAAAGAAACGAGAGAACACTATGTAGGCCCGTTGTCACTACCAAAGTTTTCTTGTACAATTTTTCTTAGTCATTTTTTTATGTTTTTTTTTATAGTGACAACCGTTAAAGAAATCTTTGATCAAAAACTTTGACTGACTTGGATGGAATAGAATCTCATCCTATTTTTCTTGAAACTTGGATGGACTTGGAATGGAACTATCCAATCCTGGTCAAAGTTTTCCTTTACCCAAGTGTTTTGATGAAAAGCTTTGATCATGTCATAAGTTGACTTGGACCAAGTCTTGACCAAGTAACTTTGATATTTACAACCTGGATTTCAGCACTTCTTGTTACAGTAATCACTTCGCCCTGATTACCCTAATACCATGTCCTTGAGATGTCCTTCGTTTGACGAGGGAAACCCCACAAATAAATATCGGGAAAAAAACTAGAGACCGTCTAAAAAATCCTGTGTCTCTCACCTAGGTCTATGTACATTTTCAATAATGGACACTCTCCAACATTTTAGACTTGCATAGAAATCATGACAAAAATCTCTTTTTTGTTGATCTGATCATTTTTTCTGCTTACAAATTCTCTCCATCTTCCTTGGCTTTTGCCCAAAAAACAAAAAAAAAGGGAAAACATAATTTGCATTAAAGAACAATAGCTCCAATCAGGAATCGACTGACGATTTCGGCCATGTGACTTATTTGTAGATCTTGTTTTACTGATCATCTTTGCAACTTAAAGTGTCTATCTTTTTTAAATAGTTTTCAAAATAATAGACAAACAAGCAAAAAATAGTAAAAGTTGTCAGTTAAACTTTTAAAATATTTAAAACGCTCGGCAAGACTCGCGGTTTAAATTTAGAAAATTTTACCGTCTCGAGTGGAGAAATATTGTATATCACTCACTGCAGTGATAAAATATAGCTTCGCCGAGCCATATGATGACGGATAACGATAAAGTTGATGAAGATGCATTAATTAATTATTTTTTATTCTTCAAGAGGCAAAATCATATAATACATTCACATTAGAAGGAACCGTGGTTTGCGACGATGAAGATAACTTGAAACTCCCAATTAGTCATAAAAATGTTGACAACCTTGACTGAACCTGAAAATTGTCCCAAGTAACAGACATATGATAAATGTATGTATTATCTAATTATAAGGTAGACCTGTTATATCTGTCTTATCTAAGTACCGGTATTACAAAATATGTTACTTATATGGATAGAGGTTCTTATAATCATCGGCCATGTTGAATCTTCTCCATTCGGTCCTGTCTATCCAATTACTGCAGCCGTTTTTCGTAACAGATATTCTGATGTCGAATGGAATGAAACTCTCGATCGATTTAAGAATGTAGGTGGGGATACCGTTATTTTCCGAGCACCTGCTTTGGAAGTTCGGACAAAATTTAGCCTTGACAACGACCCGGATTATGCTTCGTGTGGGTCTTTGTTCGGAGAGTCTAGTTGTTATGACACTGCTACAAAAGATTTGACTGGAAAAGGATTAAACGTCACTGCCGTTGTAACCTACAGTAACGACGAAAACTACGGCACGTCCATTCTCAGTTGTCCTGAATATGACAAGCGTCTGAACAGTGCAACTAACAAACTATATTACAGAATAGTTCTACCTGTACTTCCAGTAAGGTACGCATTGTCCGTTTAACATAAAATCTCAATCTTATTTCCAGGTTTTCAATAAAAAAATAATTTAAAAATATATCTTACTATCTTATTTCAAAGATTTCAGTAGAAGCTTAAGAATATATCTCAAAAATATATCTATCGTATTTCCAGGTTTGCAAGAGAAGAATATTCTAAACATATATCTATCGTATTTCCAGGGTTGCAAGAGAAGAATATTCTAAAAATATATCTATCTTATATCCAGGTTTGCAAGAGAAGAATATTCTAAAAATATATCTATCTTATATCCAGGTTTGCAAGAGAATAATATTCTAAAAATATATCTACTAGTACCTTATATCCAGGTTTGCAAGAGAAGAATATTCTAAACATATATCTATCTTATTTCCAGGTTTGCAAGAGAAGAATATTCTAAACATATATCTATCTTATATCCAGGTTTGCAAGAGAAGAATATTCTAAACATATATCTACCTTATATCCAGGTTTGCAAGAGAAGAATATTCTAAACATATATCTATCTTATATCCAGGTTTGCAAGAGAAGAATATTCTAAACATATATCTACCTTATATCCAGGTTTGCAAGAGAAGAATATTCTAAACATATATCTATCTTATTTCCAGGTTTGCAAGAGAAGAATATTCTAAACATATATCTATCATATTTCCAGGTTTGCAAGAGAAGAATATTCTAAACATATATCTATCTTATTTTCAGGTCTGCAAGAGAAGAATATTCTAAACATATCTATCTTATTTCCTGGTTTGCAAGAGAAGAATATTCTATAAAATTTATCTATCTTATATCCAGGTTTGCAAGAGAAAAATATTCTAAACATATATCTATATTATTTCCAGGGTTGCAAGAGAAGAATATTCTAAACATATATCTATCTTATTTCCAGGTTTGCAAGAGAAGAATATTCTAAACATATATCTATCTTATTTCCAGGGTTGCAAGAGAAGAATATTCTAAAAATATATCTATCTTATATCCAGGTTTGCAAGAGAAGAATATTCTAAAAATATATCTATCTTATATCCAGGTTTGCAAGAGAATAATATTCTAAAAATATATCTACTAGTACCTTATATCCAGGTTTGCAAGAGAAGAATATTCTAAACATATATCTATCTTATTTCCAGGTTTGCAAGAGAAGAATATTTTAAACATATATCTATCTTATATCCAGGTTTGCAAGAGAAGAATATTCTAAACATATATCTATCTTATTTCCAGGTTTGCAAGAGAAGAATATTCTAAACATATATCTATCATATTTCCAGGTTTGCAAGAGAATAATATTCTAAAAATATATCTACTAGTACCTTATATCCAGGTTTGCAAGAGAAGAATATTCTAAACATATATCTATCTTATTTCTAGGTTTGCAAGAGAAGAATATTCTAAACATATATCTATCTTATTTCCAGGTTTGCAAGAGAAGAATATTCTAAACATATATCTATCTTATTTTCAGGTTTGCAAGAGAAGAATATTCTAAACATATCTATCTTATTTCCTGGTTTGCAAGAGAAGAATATTCTAAAAATATATCTATCTTATATCCAGGTTTGCAAGAGAAGAATATTCTAAAAATATATCATCAACATGGTTTGCGTCTTTATTTTTTATACCAAAATTTCAAAATAAACTTAAAATGACAGGTATTAAACATCCATGTGTTCTTTTTTTCTTATGAACTGAATATCAATTTAATTTCTAATTAATGCTCCATGGCTTAAGTGTTCTTTGTGTTTATTTCACAGTGGCAACTGTTCTTTCCCAACAGGCAGTAAGGTTATAGTATTGCTGTCAGTGTTTTCAGGAGGGGATCCACATGAAGTATTACTCAAAAGTGCTGCCAGTCGGAACATCTTAGTTTTATTAGGACTTCCTGCCAAACCGCAGAAGACATCCATTTCAGTATTTAATCTCATACCAGCATACCTAGCTTGGACAGAACGTGTTTTAGAAGACCATAAAACCAGATATTCTCCGTCTATGTACAAAACAATACTCGGTTATTATTCCCGTGATGAAATACTTCTCAGTGAAATCGAATTATCTTTGATTCAGTTTTATAAGTTAATTGCCAGTACCGTTCATGACTTTGGGAAGAAGATTCTCGTCTCGGCGAACATAGATCTAAGTCGCCTTACTCAAAACAAGACTGTTGCAGACCATGTGCAAGGATTTTCAAAATTTTCTGACCGAAAATCCGCAAATATCGACTTCATCGCTGTACACGAAGGCCGAGGATATGGTCGAGGTGGGTTATATTGGCCGACGCAGGTAAATCAACCAATAAACGCTTCGGATCCAAAACTTATGCAAATCTTACAACGACGTCATCTAACGATAAGTCCAAATGCGACATTCGGCGAAGTATTCACCGGAAGCGTACAAGAAGTAAGACCATAACTTTATGAAAATATTGTTTTCTTAACATTATGAAAATATTGTCTTTATAACATTATAAAGATATGGTCTGCATCACATTATCAAAATATGGTCTGCTTAATATTATCAAAATATGGTCTTCATAACATTATCAAAATATGGTCTTCATAACATTATAAATATGTTCTCCATGACATTATTAAAACATGGTCTTCATAACATTATCAAAATATGATCTTCATAACATTATCAAAATATGGACTTCGATATAAATAGAAAAGTGTACATTCCATCTTAGCATTATACCAAGCTCCAGTAAAAAGTGAACCTAACTGAGACTACCAAAGTTTTGTAATGTACACGAAATTTCGTATACAGTGAAAAAAACATGAAGATAATAGACTTCGTCAAAAGCCGACAAGATTCCTTAAATGAAAACGTAACATAAGGCGGGGTTAGATTTCTATGTTTTTTTTTAATAATCAACCCTTCCCCATTCCTTTTCTCTAGATATTTATGAGTCGTTTATAAGTATTGTAACATGTAGCTGCTGGTTTTTTTTAACTAAGATTGTTTGTTTTATTTATGAACAATTTTGTTTGATGTGTGCTGCATCTTAAAAACAATATTGTTTTTAAATGTAACGAATATGAGGTAAATCATAATGCCATATCCTTTCCTTTTGTGGGCTTCAAATGGTTAAAACAGTCATATATTCCCGATCGGTTCATGCGATTTCAATGAAAAATTGGACGGTAAAGCCAAACAACAAACAATCATTTTGTATGAATTATTTTAACGTTTTATGTGAATGGAACAACAAAATGAAGAAGTGAAACGTAACTCATATACAATTTTACATCTTTATTTTCACAGCTATTTCAAGGTCTAAGAAGCTACAGGAATCATAACAAGAATACATCTGATCTGTGGCTGTTATTGGAAGCAGAAGAAGACTTGATTGACGATGTTTGTCTTCCAGTAGATACTAAGGCGTCTGGTAATTCTGATCCTATCGACAGAACCAGTAAATCTAGAATTGATCGTTCCCTGTCTGCTACTGGTGCAGCAGTGCAGAAAGTTATGGCGTTTGCTTACGATCCAGAGTTTACATGTACCACAAAGAGCCAAACGGCCCCATTAGTTGAGGAGATATCAACAGATTCTGGTCGACCAATCATAAGCAACTGCTCTTTCCATTCGTCTGCTAACAGATCTGTAGTGGTGATCGGGTACAATCTTGAGGGTGAAACACAAGGTTTTCAGGTATTATCTGTCCTTCATAGCTATACCTTAGGGTCTTTAAACAATAAGATAAAAATCTTTATTTATTGATCTAAATAGATACGGACATATTTTTACGTTTTTTTATGCTAAAAATGCCACGCTCCCGCCTGAATTCGCGCCCTCTGAAAAGAACTTACTAGATTGCAAATATATGGTCAAACTTTTTAGAAGAAATAAGAAATATATAGTACGATAAATTAATGACTGTCATACAAGTGAGAGGTTTAGCTAGCTATAAAACCAGGTTTAATCCACCATTTTCTACATAAGAAAATGCCTGTACCAAGTCAGTAATATGACAGTTGTTATCCATTCCTTTGATGTGTTTGAGCTTTTGATTTTGCCATTTGATTAGGGACTTTCCTTTTTGAATTTTCCTCGGAGTTCAGTATTTTTGTGATTTTACTTTTTAATGGGTGAAATCAGATTAGTCTATACGACAAAGTTGACCATAGACAATTGGGGCTAAGACATCGACCATTGATCTTTTGTTCTATACGTGTGGTATGGTTCTAACAAAATAGTGTTTCCGGTATATTTGCTTCCCATCTGTTTGATCTTGAGTGTATATGATGGCGTGATACTAGGAGAGCTTAAAAGCAGTATCATATGCTTTAGAATATAGTAATTAAATATGCCAAATATCAAAATTTCGGGTATAACACGGGTATTATCCATATTTTATCGTTTGGCTCCGAGCTTTATCCTTATTCGGTCTCCGGGCCCTTTGAACAATGTTTGAGGGCTCTGACAAACACTAATTGGACTCCCGCTTCAGCCGATAGGCGAGCTCCGGTCTCCAATTGAACTGCGGAGCCCTTGTTATTACAAGTTCAATAAATTGTGTTCAATCTTAAACGATGCTCATGGATTGATATCCCGAGGACGTACATTCTACCACTTGTAATACCGAAGCACTGTTATTAACTTTTAAAAATTTACATTATATTAATTGTTTTCGTGTTATATTTTAGGTCGATTGGCCAGATCGGGACGGCAAGCAACACCAGGACCACGTAAATGGATACTATTTTGAATTAGACTATGGTGAGCAGCATGGACTGATTCCGTCTCTGGAATATACACAGCTATATGACCCGTATGACGTGATTTCATTGGCTGACCACGGCTACGTTAAAGTTCAAGCAATTGGAAGTTACCATGGTTGCAGTTTTGTTTTTGACTATCGACAAAACAGACTGAGTGACAATGACACTTGAGAAATACTATGAAAATAAATTATTTTTTTTTAACACTTTGTAAAGCGTAGCAGGTTGGGAGCCACTATATAGCTAAGCCTCCTCGCAGGATGTACTTACCCTTTCGAAACACTTAAGTTCATCTCTGGAATTCGTTGGGTTTCCTGTCTTTAGTTGTGCTTAGTGTTTTGTACACTGTTGTTTGTCCGACCGTCCTTTTTTCTTCTTCCAATGACGTTGTCTATCTTTCTCAAAAACTCAAATTCGTTTTCTCATTTTACATCTTTTCTTGTTTTGCTATTATATTGTCACAAAAAGTTCACGCTGTATTGACATCCTAACTTGACCGTAACTTAAACTAACCGTAAAATGACCTCAGTCACATGTTCGCCTCGTTTTCTGGGTAGGTAATCGTTTATAGAACCACCCGCTTCCTAAGTGAATCAGAAATAGCAGCAAATTTATAAAAAAATGAATGTAGAGGAAGATGTACTCGTGGATCGGAAGCGGGGTATTCATTTACTTTCTTCCGGTTTCTTTGATTCGAATTTGAATTAGTATACGTACGTATATATGTAAGTAAAAGAAAGTCACAGAGAAAAGTGACATCGACGGTGTTTAAATTTTGAAAAAGAAATCCGTTCAAAGTGAAAGTTATTATAATCAAAACTCCATTTAAGTAATTAGGGAAATAATAAAATAGATAGATGGATGGCTGCTGAACGTCCTGGGGCAAATTAAATGCATATTCAGGACGAAAACATTATAATGTGATATTAATATAGACATATTTTTTAACTAGACCTACACGCTGAGTCGGATTTTTAATGTGCTAGTTGACAAATTAACAGTTCACAAGAAGACATGTCACCCTTCCTGGACAGATTATTCTGACCCAAAGCCGACAAGTCTTTGCTCTTTCTCATAATTGACGTATGCTTAGCGGAGAAGCAGCATATGCCCAATTTTCACTTGAACTGTTTGGTTTAACCCGCACAGGGAACGAACCCAAGACATCCCGCATTCGAGGCAAGCACGCCTACCACAAGACTGCCGAGGCGGTTAAAATTGATAGGAGGCATTGACAAACTTTATTTGTGTCGATCTAGTAGTCTTAGTGTTTGGAAATTTCCGTTTTTATTTGAATTATATTCAGCGATATAGGAGCATATTTAAAGAGAAAAGAACCATCTGCTTGAAACTAAGAATACAGGAGATTTGGGATTTGGGGGTGTACGTCAAATTCTCATTGGGACAGCAAATCAACACAAATAACTAACAGACAGATGTCAACATACAGTACAGTTTATTCGGTTTTTTTTTAATTTCAAAAGGTTTCTTTCAATCGATTCATTGCCAAAACAAAATTTACTAATAAAATAAAAGGTAACGATAAAATGATAGATTTAGAAATGAGTTAGAAAGTTATGTTCCAACTACCACGGGTGGTTAACTTGGTTGGTTGTTGCCAGTTTATAGGTCCGTTGTGGTCATATATATAGGTCCTTAGTATTCAGTATACATCCTTCGCTTCATATTGTTGGGTTTGAGCGTTCCTGGTAAACGGTTTAATCCAAAAAGCGCTTCGCCGGAACGGGGTTAATCCAAAAAGCACTTCGCCGGAACGGGGTTAATCCAAAAAGCACTTCGCCGGAACGGGGTTAATCCAAAAAGCACTTCGCCGGAACGGGGTTAATCCAAAAAGCACTTCGCCGGAACGCACCAAATTTGTTATTTCCATTCTCTCTTTTATTAAAAGGTATTTAGGTTAAGTTGTTTTCTACGATAAAACTAAATTTACCAAAGACTGAAACCTTAAATTAGGACGGTTTCATGTAAAAGGAAATTGTACGCCCTTCACAATTGTACAAAGATTTATACCCGAGACTACTCTCAGTTTATACATACGGTTAGCAGTAAATTAAGGTAAACATATTTCATCACCTGAAACTCCAATACTCAATTATTGTAAGATTAGAAATATATAAACACGTGGAGCGTTGCTTCCTCACCGCCTCCGTTTGCTCAGCTCGGGTTGGTAGAGTGGTGGCTTACTCAGGTCCAATCCGGCGGTTCGAACCATGGCTGAAACCGTGCACGGTGCCAATTTTCACGGGGAGGAAAATAAAAGTCTCCAGTTACAATAAGCCCTAACTGAAAAAAGCGACCATATGGTGGTTAAAAAAAAGATTTAGAGAATTAACCAGGATATTGTAAATATGTTATACTTTGTGACTCTTGAAGTAGAGAAATTACCGGCGGCTTCCCTTGACCAAGTAGATATATAACACCGTCCATTAGGTGGACTAGTCAGTAGAGTACTTATATTTACCTCTCTTAGTGGAAAGGTAGCAATGATAATTGTGACCGGAGCCACAGTCTAGAACTCCAGCTGTACAATGGTAATTTAGAAATGAAAATAGTGCTCTCCGGTACACACGCATGACACATGGGCTGATTCAAAGGATAAGTGATCGCTATGATTGCATGCCATATACAAATTATAGTGAAAGTGGTCAATTCTTACACTTGAATTATTAGTTTCAAGAGCAGACTGAGTACAACCGTATGAGAATCAGAGGCAAGGCAAGTAAGTTTATTTTAAAAGGGAACACGAAAAAAAAACCCTAACAAACATTGGAACAACTCTAATTCAAGACATCCGCCCCCGCTTCCAACAAACATGCAGAAACATGAAGAAACGGATAAATACGGTGATGATTATATTGTATCAACACATTGTATCAAAACATGGTCCTTTGATGAAATCTGGGACTATTTATATTATGTCCCAGATGAAATCACTATCGTATAACTATAGCTGGGACCAAAATTTGATTGATGTTGTTTGCGTAACGTCCATTGGCAACTATTTCATGCATGTTCAGTACAATCAGGGACCAACAGATAAATGTGTTACGTAGTTCTCCTGGATACAGTAATGCTTATATTATACGAAGACATTATTTAAATTATTGAAGAAAAAACCCAATTAATGTATCCAGGAAAATTCAAAATTTTAGATTTGATTAGACATCGCCGCATTCACCATGTTTTCATGTAGATGATGAAGAACACTTGTTCAGTGTTCCCATGGCTTTTCGACAATGAGTAATTAACTAAACTGCGAATCGGATTTAACAATTTCGTCATACATCAATTCTACTTTTCCCTTCTTAACTTGTATGGTCACTAAATCTGTGTCAAAACACAACAATTTTAACTTTGCGTATTATTTTCCATATTATTTTGTGGTGCTGATGTAGCCAATCATTTCGATAGCAATCTGAGTGTTCATAATCTAATAAATTTTCCACTTTTACCTGTATAATTCATACACATCAAGATCTGTATTCATTTTTGATAATAATTTTTTTTTACCATGCAGCTGTTAAATTGCTGATTTAGTTCTTTGTACCACATATCCAAAAGTATGCGCTTCATTTTCTCCAAGTTCATGGAGAAAATGTTTATCACTTGTATATTCATTAAATATTTAACTGTTTAAAAGGGTTTATTTGTGGCAAGGTACATGTATGCAGAAGTCCATTCCTCGGGCCCAGTAATCTGGTAACATTGGGTAATGGATTTCTGTCAAAGTTGCTGTGAAAAGGGAGATAAGAAACTTTTGTAACATATTTAACTGCAAAGCACAACTTTTGTTGAGGTTGTAAAAACACTGCAGTACACAAAAATTAAATCAAAAGCACTTAAAACGAAGACACTCTTTAACTTAAAAGACAAACAGTATGATATGAACATGCATTAATTTCATTGAACTTTTTAAAAGGACAGTTTTGTACACTTTTTATGTCTCTGAATTAACCCTCCTCACCCTTTTTAACATTGTTAAAGGTTTATGCTGTAAGCAATAGGACTTTGAAAGATCTAGTTTATACATGTATTTGGTATGGTGTATTAACATGAAAATATCATTGACTTTGAAATACACAAAGTTTAAGGAGTTAGTAGGATTGTTTACTTTCATATGTAGATGTGTAGTAAGGTTTTTTGAATTAACTTTAAAGGTCCATGATTTGGATAAATGCTAAACTGTTTTATTGCTGGCCCAAGTTGCTCAATATTTAATCATATCTAATCTTGGGTAAAATGCAATATATCATTACTTTATGATTTTAACCAGCAGTTAAACTGGTTGAAAAACTGAGTCCTGGTCTATAATTGTTATATGGTATTTTTTGGTTTGTTTTGTTTAAATATGCATTAAATTTTGCTGAAAGGGTTAACATTAGGATCCAAATATGATGTGTACCTTGCCACTGCTGGTGGAGTTTTTCTTCCCGAGGGTATCACAAGCCCAGTAGTCAGTACTTCTGTGGTGACATGAATTATGATTGATATGGTCATGATTATAAATAAACTGTTTACAAAACTTTGGATTTCCAAAATACTAAAGATTTTCTATTGGCAAAACTTTTAGGAATTTTGGGTTTTTCAACTAAGTACATTATTTGGCCTTTTAACTTCTTTCATTCAAGCATCACTGATGAGTCTTCTGTAAAGAAACGCCCGTCTGGCGTACAAAATTTCAATCGTTGTATTTATGATGACTTTATTTGCATCCACTCCCGATAGCCTCTATCAAAATACCTAGAAATAGAAAATTTCCAAATGGACCAAAAATGGAAACTGAGTGCCTTGTGTAACTTTTCATAATAGAACAGTTTTAGCTACATTCTGCTATGATATGAAATTCCCAATTTTTCAATCTGTATAAGTTTCAAAGAAATTAAAAGATATTTTCATGTGACCTTTTTATCAAACATGGTTGAAAGTTCCTAACAAACCAATCTGATCCATAATGAAATTTGCTTGTTCTGCTCACTACAATCATTTTTACCAACTCAACATTTAAGGATGTTCGCTCCTCGTTTTTAAATTTTTGCCAGATATTCAGAATCCTCTGGCTTTATCCATGTAGTGCACCACTAGTTAGTTAGTCTAATATTGTGGAACTCTAAGAAGAAGAAGAAAAAATTTATGCAATAAACTAACCAGATATCTGTGAGACCTATGGTAACCCTATTTTCTTTTTGAACTGAGGGCAGTTTAGTTTGAGGCATTTGAAAAATAATAAAATGCTCCGCAGGGCGCAGCTTGATACGACCGCAGAGGTCGAACCCTGAACAGTTGGGGCAAGTATGGACACAACATTCAAGCTTGATACAGCTCTAAATTTGGATTGTGATTAAATATTTGACACAGCATAGGTTTCTGACACAGAATGAATGTGGTCTAAGAACTTAAAAATTTTAAATTGGACATTCAACTATTATGGTCCAATATCCCAAATCTAAATACATGGTTAGATTCAGCATATCAAAGAACCCCAAGAATTCAATTTTTGATGAAATCAAACAAAGTTTAATTTTGGACCCTTTTGACCTCAATGTGGACAAAGTTGATAATGGGGCCCAAAAATCAAAAATCTAAATACATGGTTAGATTCAGCATATCAAAGAACCCCATATATTCAATTTTTGTTGAAATCAAACAAAGTTTAATTTTGGACCCCGATTTGGACCAACTTGAAAACTGGGCCCATAATCAAAAATCTAAATACATGTTTAGATTCAGAATATCAAAGAACCCTAAGAATTCAATTTTTGTTAAAATCAAACCAAGTTTAATTTTGGACCCTTTGGACCTTAATGTAGACCAATTTGAAAACAGAACCAAAAATTAAGAATCTAAATACACGGTTAGATTCGGCATATCAAAGAACCCCAATAATTCAATTTTTGATGAAATCAAATAAAGTTTAATTTTGGACCCTTTGGACCTCAAAGTGGACCAATTTAAAAACGGGGCCCAAAATCCAAAAACTTAATACACGGTTAGAATCAGCATAATAAAGAACCCCAAGAATTCAAGAATAAAACCCCATTGTAATTGGTCAAGAAATAAGCAATTTATACGAAGTATCTTCTTTTGCACAATACTGTGCAATTGAATATTTCTTGCTATTGCGCAATACTGTACAATTGACAATTTCTTGCTATTGCGCAATATTGTGCTATTGGATATTTCTTGCTATTGCACAATACTGTGCAATTGAAGATTTCTTGCTATTGCGCAATACTGTGCAATTGAAGATTTCTTGCTATTGTGCAATACTGTGCAATTGAAAATTTCTTGCTATTGAACAATACTTATTTTATAATAATATACACATCCTGTTTGGTGTGTATCTCCTACCATATCATTATTATTTGCTTTTAAATATAAAACAGAAATAACCAACTTAAAATGGAAAATTTTAAAAGAAAAAAAAAAGGAAAAAAAGAAAAAAAAGGAAAAAAAAAAAAATCCCCCCCCCCAAATTTTTTGAACCCCCTTATGATTGATCACCCCCAAACTCAATCCCAGCCTTCCCTTTGTGGTATGGTACCTTGCAGTACAATTTCAGAGAGATCCATACACTTGAACACAAGTTATTGTCTGGAAACTAGAAAAATGCTTATTTTTGGCCCCTTATTCCTAAACGTTTTGGGCAATTACCCCCAAACTCAATTCCAGCTTTCCCTTTGTGATATGGAACCTTGTAGTACAATTTCAGAAAGATCCATACACCTACACACAAGTTATTATCTTGAAACTAGAAAAATGCTTGTTTTTTGCCCCTTTTTGGGCCCCTAATTCCTAATATTTTGAGGCAATTACCCCCAAAATCAATCCCAGCATTTCCTGTGTGATATGGAACCTTGTGGTACAATTTCAGAGAGATCCATACACCTGAACACAAGTTATTGTCTGGAAACTAGAAACATGCTTATTTTTGGCCCCTTTTTGGCCCCATATTCCTAAACGTTTTGGGCAATTACCCCCAAAACTCAATTCCAGCTTTCCCTTTGTGATATGGAACCTTGTAGTACAATTTCAGAAAGATCCATACACTTACACACAAGTTATTGTCATGAAATTAAAAAAATGCTTGTTTTTTGCCCCTTTTTTTGCCCCTAATTCCTAATATTTTGAGGCAATTACCCCCAAAATTAATCCCAGCATTCCCTGTGTGATATGGAACCTTGTGGTACAATGTAAGAGAGATCTATACACTAACACACAAGTTATGTCTGGAAGTTACAAAAATGCTTATTTTTGGCCCCTTTATGGCCCCTAATTCCTTAACTGTTGGTACCATAACCCCCAAAATCAATCCCAACCTTCCTTTTGTGGTATTGAACCTTATGGTAAAATTTCATAGAGATCCATTCACTTAAACTAAAGTTAGAGTGCGAAAACCAATGTGTCTTCGGACGACGCCAGACGACGACGACACCAACGTCATACCAATATACGACTGCAAAAATTTTTTGCGGTCGTATAAAAACAAACACAAGATAAAAGACAAGACAGATTTATTCACCAAAAGAGAAAAAGTTTCTACAGTAATATAGTGGAATGATAACTATGTGTGACCTTTATAGTTTAACCTTGACAATGTACATCAATCTACTGTCAAGGTCAGAGACAGTGAAACCTTTATCTAACCTTGACATTACCAGATGTTAAATTTGTCCATCCATTCGTCCATAAACATGTTAAAATTTAATAAAAATTTGGTATATATGTTAAAAATAGATTTTGAACATTTGAAAATTCTGCTTAAATTTTGAAATTAGATGTAAGAACATTTGCATTCTTTTTTCTATCAAACAAAATATTGAAGAAAAAAAATATAAACATACAGACTGACAGAACTTGATGGACAAACCCTTTTCTGTGAAAAAAAAATATCATCAAAATACTGTTTCCATAGTTCTTATGTAAATAAACAAACAATTTCTATAAATAAACAAAACACTGGTCCCATACAACCATGGAATTAAGACAATAATTCCCATAATTCTCAACTCAGTATACTATGAAAGAGTTGTCTCCCTTCCCCAACCCTGAGAATAACTCAAATTTATCCATGTGTGGCCATTTGTAAATAATTTGTTACAATAACTATTTCTTGTATCTGCAATCTACACAGTAAACGTTGATTGTGATGCCCTTAAATGCAAAGAAATTCCAGCTGGATTAGATTGAATATCAATACATTGGAAAAATCAATGCTGCTTATCTTCATGAACAATTTAGCTATTCAACTATGTATATGAAAAAAACAAAACTTTTTTTACCTGTCATTTCAGACAAATTTTAAAAATGGTTGTCAGTGTGAACTAGAACCTCATGAACTCCATATATTATAACATTAACTTGAGGCCCCAGATGGGTCATGACAATGACTTCATTCAAGCTATAAATAGCAAAAGGAACAAAAAAATTATAAATGGCCTAAGGAAATTTTTTTTGGGTAAGACGCTACAAATAAAAAGATTTTACATTTGTATACTACTGTTCACAACACAAAATCATCTTCTTTTTACATAATGTTACAACAAACTTTCATTATATTTTAGAGAATAATTTGTATTTACAAGTGAAATTTAAAATAATTCAACATTATTTCCATATACTTTTATCAAATCTTTAGTATCCTTACCAGCTTCAAGAAAAAACAAAAAATAATCATTTAGTATCATACCTCGTCTGGGCTCAGGGAGATATGAATTTGGTGAATGGTAAAATCTTGACTTAAAAACTTAACAGCATTTATAACCTCATCCTGGAACTAATGTATTTATATTCAAACAGATTTAAAGTTTTCAGGAAACAGCGAATGGAATCACTCCTCAAATAAAAATATGAGGGTCACATTTGAGTGATTTTATAAATAATTGAATGTGCAAGCTTCACAGAATCAATTCCTTGATCACTTTGAAAAATCCTATGTATAAATCTTTTTCCCTTTTGTCTTAAATGTACAGAAAATGAATGACAGCAAAGAAAACTTAACTCTATCACAGAACAAAATCACCGCTATAGTACTCAAACTTCTTACTCCAACTAACAAGCCAATATCTATTTACAGATAAATTTAATTTGTTGCTGATTATTATCCAAAACTAAGAGAAAGAACATTCAGTGTTCATCAATATCAGCTGATCTTTTTCTTACAAAGTTTTTATTTATCATAAAGATACCATATTTGCTAAATTATTTTGTTGTGCTGATGTAGTCAATCATACCTATAAACATATCAGTAATCTTAGTGTTCATAATCTTATAAATTTTCCACTTCATCTATTGGCTGTGCTTAGCCAATCAGAAATGGTAATATATTTTGCCAAATTATGTATTCATTTTGATCAACCAATCAGAATTGGTGATACACTTTCTATGTTATGTATTCCATTGTTCAGCCTATCAGAGATGGTGATATATATGTCTAATCTGATTGAAGGAATAGTGATTCAAAGTTTTTTGCAAAGAGGAAAATTAATATAGCAAATACAGTACAAATATTTCAATAAAAATATTAATGAATGAAGCTAATAAATGCTAGTCCAGCTAACATCCTAATGTGTTGCACTTGGTTTATTTTAACCAGTATATATATATATATATTTTCTCAAATTAGAATAGTGACCTTACTTTTCTTAACTGGCTAATCAGATTAGACTTTTTGTCAATCTTTTCATCTGGTCCCTGGGAAACCAGTTTGATTTAAAATAACCAGGTCTATTTTGTGTTTTACTCACATTCTATCAGTAACATTAAGTATTTTAAATAAACAATAAAATAACAATTTTGTATTACATTAAAATCCTTCATCATTATGCTCTGATGTGAAGATTATCTGATATTCAAGTTTAGCCTTATTATGAAAAACATTGGGGAAACAAAATTTGAAATAGAAAAAATATTTAATTGTATTTCTTTTTTCAATTCTTTTTTGTATCTATTATTTCAACAACACAAATAAAACAAGTTAACAAGTTCGTTAAATACATAATAACATCATATTCAAATAATTTTGAAATATATTTGTGACAGTATTTTAAATATGATTTTTACAATATTTCATATTAAAAAAAATCTACTACTTCACAAAGGAAATCAAATTAGGAGAAATTTTGGTATACGTTTCTCAAAAAACTCTATAGACAAGTTTTCAACAATGACTTTTTTAATACTTTATAATCATGTAACATTTTTTACAAATCAACATTTCAATGTGAACTTCTTTACACCAAAAATGAACACTACTTCACAAAAGTGACCTATATCAGATCTGCCTATGAACTTTGAACCTTACTACAATGTGTGAAAAAACACGTAAAATTTACAGTGAGTTTTATGAATTTATATGAATAACAATAAATACATGGATTTTCTGTTGATTGCACAAGAAGTTCTACAGATCCTACTAAAGTTATCTCCCCTTAATTTTTCTCTGGTACTTCCTGTAGTGTGTGCCACTGGGCAATAGGTCGCCTTGGGTTGGCAAGCATGTCACTCCAGTGACGCAACTCTGTTCCACTTGAGTTGCAACCTAGGTTAACACGTCCAATTGGCTCAGATGTTCCTATTCTGTCATAATCTACGACAGTAACTATCAAGGATACTTTCTGGAAATGAATAAAAGTTAGAATTATTTTGCTGATTTCTATTCCAAGAAAGCTCTACTACACACAATTGGCCCCTTTTAATGGCACCCAAATAGATTAATCAGTCAAAAAGAACAGATAAAATTCGTCTATAATTGATTGAGTGTTGTATAAATGAAAAAAAATAAAAAAAATTACATCTCATCAAAAAGCAATCTTGAAACAATAATACTGCTTAATTCAAATATGATCTAAATAGATGATTGTTTTTTGCTGGCTCTGTTATTCTTACAAATTCATTTTAATTTTCTATATAAATATACTACAGACATTGATATTTTTCTATTTTTTTTTCACATTTCATGAATTAATGCTGTAAACTTTCAGATTGTGAAAAGTAAAATTACAAAAATACCAAACGCCGAGGAAAATTCTAAACAGAAAGTCCCTAAGTAAATGGCAAATTCAAAAGCTCAAACACATCAAACAATTATGGATAACAACTGTCATATTCCTGACTTGGTACAGGCATTTTCTTATGTAGATGTTTTTGTGAATGTTTTTAAATATAGTATGTAACTATATTGCAATAATATTAGTTTATGGCTTGTATATTAACTTTACATGAGGAATTTTGCTATTTTCATGGTGAGAATAGAGACATAAAACCTGCTTGCCTTTGCAGGGGGTCTCAGTTCAATGCTCTCCCCCACATTAACAATCACTCCCACATTAACAATCACTTACAATAACTTTTTAATGGGTCAATAGATGACCCATTTTGTTTGACACACTTTGAAAAATTTGTCTTATTTATATTCTGTTTAATTCAGGTTTGAAACATTGCCACTAGAAATTAGGCAAAAATGCATGATTTTATTTCTATAAATTATTATATTTACGTATACACTGTCAATTTTCATGTAAAATATCAACACTTTTCAGTTATATTAATACATTTACTCGATGCTGGATAGTCCAAGAATGGAAAATTCTGACCAAAGAAAGATAACCCCAGTCAAGCAATGCATAGGAAAGTATTATTCTTGACAATACTGTTGATCATTATTACTTCTGGGAAACAAATTTTTCGTGGATTTCATGTGTATAGGTGAACCAAAATTTACATATTCCACTATGTGCAAATTTTGCTTGTTTGGAGACTTTGGCAAAGCCAGGAAACCAAATATTCACACAAGCATTTTATTCCTCAATCCACAAGAATTGGTACCAGCAAAAATGAATGAAACCACAGTATCAACATCTATCATAGACTTTCGTTTAAAGCAGCAATCTTGAACTTTAAAGTGTAAGATTTTGCTGTGTGTTTTACATCACCCTCTAACTTCCAGATGAAAAACAGAAGTAAGAGTCCTATTTCTTTCTATGGGTTTTGTCAAGTGTCGTAGGGACTACATGTGTGAATCTATACCCCATATTTCTTGTTTTCAATAGCTCTATATACAACAGACACAACACACTCATTAAGGTGGTACCAATCACCCTGACTAGACTTAATTTGGCTCATTTAATGTTCATAAAATTTTTACAAAATATTTACTTTGACCCTTGAAAAAAATATAAAATTTTCAAAAATCTTGAACCACATACTTTATCGGAAAATTTTCATTAAATATATAGCAGTTTGACAAATACTAATTTTGGTCATTGAGAAGCTTAATATTTCCTTAACAATAGAATGTGACTAAAACGTTCAGCTGATTTTTACAGAATTATCTCCCTGTAATGTTATGTACCACCTTAACACTTTTCTGAAATTCAAAAAATGACACCAGGTCCCTGTTGTATTCAAAGTCAAAATGGAGTCAGTATAACACAAAACAAACTACTGATTATTGAATGAAAATGCTTGTACTTTATAATTAATCTCATAATGATAGACCTAACAAGAACTAGTTCATGCATACTTACCATTCTAAAGTACCCACAAGGTGATTAAATTAAAAATCCCTCTTTCAGGTGAATTTCACTGTGAATGCTAGGTATTGTGGAAGATTCACTCTTAAATATCTCTTTTAAGATGTAATAGGTAACAGTTATGTTAAAGTCATAAATCTGAGTGATAATCTCAATTCACCAGCAATCTCCCTGATTCACAGTGAATCACCCAAAACCAGCCAGAGTGATTTTTTTTTTACTAAAACACCTTGTGTTTACTGATAATAAACATTCTTACAACACAATTTAATATGTACAGTAAGAGACCACCTCAAAGTTGCAGCTTTTTTTCCAATTAAATATGATTAAATTTGGATTGTCATTTTCATCTCTCACTATGAAGTTTTTGGAGACCAATATAATTTTAAACACTGAATGGCCAGTGCATATTTTTTTCACATGCCCATGTGCCAGGAATAAGTAGGTGGTAAAAACCAAATGAAATTATATTTGTTCTAAAAAATAGAATGCTACACTTTGAGACAGTCCACCATAAAAACAGTTCAGTGACAGATATTTGTCATGTCAATTGTCCTTAGAATCAAATGGTATAATTTGATTTGAAAGAATTCAAAAGTAAACATAATTAAATAGAAAATTTAATCAGAGAGGAGATACTGAATTGAAAGACAAGAAAACAATACTTAAATTTGGTAAGATGCTACATATGAAGTGAAGAAATTATGTTTGATTAATTTTGGAGATAAAAAACCAAACTATTTTGAGGCAGTTTTTCAGGAAATAGACATAATTTGGAAAGTTTCAGGCTAATTTTTTTCCTTGTTAGCATGAAGATTTTGAAAAGCATCAAACTGCCCATGAAAATTCAATAAAAGTACCTTTAATTCCACCCGAATCTAAATATAATATTTTTGGAAAGGCTCTGTTCACATAGAAGAATTTAATACTAATTCAGAAATGAAGGTTTAAATTATTTTGGTCATGGCAGCAGGGACTAATAGATAAATGTATTAGTCCCAGATGGCATTTACTATGAAATGATTCCAAGGACCTGATGTGCATTGTTGAACAAAACAAGTGTTCACTCAAAACTATTTATTGAAGTGCCAGTTAATGATTGAACTAAAATAGTGTTGAACAATACTAGCTTCTGTGCATTATAAAAAAAAAAATATTTTCTGCATTTACACAATTTTCAAAAAGTGCAAGAAAACTAAACTGAAAAATTTGTCAATAAAAGGGAGATAAGTCATATATAGCATATGGGTGAAAAACACACTAAAAGGGAGCGTGCAATTTTATTGTCATTCAATATTTGGATCTAATCTGAAACAAACCTATAAACTAGTTTCGTGTATGGGAGACAATCCATTACTTTAAAGGGAGGCAATCAGATTGAAAAGGAATGTAATTAAATTGAGAATCACTGACTGTTATAATATTTGACATTCCAACTACTAGTAATGCTATTTAAGCTTGAACAACAAAGACAGCAAACAGTTGAGATATTATATTGTTAGATGCCATTAAACAATTCTGCCATCTTCTTCCACAAAAAATAAACAAAAATATTTTGGAACCAAAAACAGAAAGCAATAAATATCCTCATTTGACAAAAAAAAAAAAAAAAAAAAAATTATGTTAATCTATTAAATTTAGCAGTATATAATTAAAAAAATGAAAAGAGAAAAAAAAATAGTAATAACATTAAAGAATTAAAATAAAGATCAAAGGAACTTTAATAAATCATTTGTATTATAATTAACTATATAAATAATAAATAATTCCTATATTTTTATAAATCAAGTGTCTTCAAATAATTTATGCTAATAAAAGAACGCTAATAAATGTATTTATAATTCCTACACTACTGCTGTTTTCTCATTTGTTTTAGCATTTTATAAATTTTGAAGTTGCTGATAATTTGCTGCAAAGATGAAAGAAGATTAGCAGATGTTTGTTACTATGACAACATAGAATATATGTGTTAGTTGTCACAGGGAGCTATGTTCTACAGTGCAGCTTCACTACGACTGATACCTGAACTTGTTCAAAAGGAACTTCAAATGTGAAAGACTCGTTATAGTATGGATTCAACGTGAACTTCTTTATCGTGGTTTTCTTCTTTTTTACACGCTTCCCGCTTAGCATCAAACTAAGTTTTACATATGGATCTGACAAGAAAAACAATACAAAAATAACAATATAAATAGAAAAATAAACACACATGCTTGTATAACACCAATATCTTGCCTTTTTTGCAATGGCAAGAAAAAATTAAACCTGGGAGGCAAATGTGAAATAATTAGAAGGTCAAAAGGTCACAAGGTGTGAATGTACCTGTATCTGTTCAAATGGAACCTCGAAAGTGAATGATTCATTGAAGTAGGGATTCAAAGTACATTTCTTTATGGTAGTTTTCTTTTTCTTTAGACGCTTGTTTCCCTGATACAAAGCAATTTTCACGTACGGATCTGGTAAACAAAATGAAACAAGATTAGTTTATGTCATATGTCAAGATATTTCCGCAAAATATAAAAAGATGACAACTGCTGTGTATTCAACATTACATTAAAATATCTAAAAAAAAACTACCTGTATTTAAGATTTAATTCATGCTAAATACATCTATATCAAAACATATTCAAATGCATGCTTTTTGCAGATTATTACCAACAAGACTGAACAATCCTTTATACCTTGGCCATCATTTTTAGCTTCTTTGGTGTAATTCTTATAAATCATCTCTAAAGTCTTTACTTATGGTTTCCACAAAATTACAATCTTTCTTTTACTTTTTACACTGATAGGTCTTGTGTAACATAACTTGGGAGGTGTGCAAAGATTAAAGATTTGTGACTTCTGCCATCTTTTTTTTAAGCAGGGTGCACACTTTTTCCACTGCTTTTTCTTTGTATTTAATGTTTATCATCATAAGCAGAATTAGAGATTGGAAATAGAATGACAAATCCTTCATATAAAACTGGATTGAAACTTTAACAGAAAGTTTTCATTTATCTGTATTTTTTAGCCCTCAATATTAGAAAATCAGCTAGCTTAGTATTGCAATAATCTTTTACACTTATTATCTGTCACTGTAAAGACATGGTCAAGTTATTTAGATATTGATTTACAGACTGAAATCTGTAAAATAATATAAAAGTTTATGAACAATCACTTTTACAAAGAACTACTGTGGATTCATTTATTTTCGTGGGAATCAATTTTCGTGGATGACTGAAAACTTGCATATTCGTGGATATTTGATTTCGTGGTTTGTCAATCTCTGTATACAAAGCCTATTGGCAATACATTATTCGTTGAACATTTGAATTCGTGGTTCACCTTTACCCACGAAACCCACGAAAATTAATATCCAACGAATAATAATGAATCCACAGTAATTGCATTTGTAACTGAACACATTTTACAAAAATATGTATTATTTTTATCTTAAAAATGGGGCAGCACAAATAATGTTAAAGGGTTCATCTTTAATCTTACACAAAATTCTTCCAACTGTGTTGTTCAGAAATTTGTTTATATTTCCCTAGAAAACCTGTTTCAATTTTTCAATTAACAGGTTAAATAACTTTTTATGTCATTTTATAAAATATTTGAAATGGCAAGATTCAAAACAAGTTAATGTGAAATCAGTAAGATCAGACTACAGTTGCTATGGTTACCTGATAAACCACCAACATCCATCTTTTTAAGGTTTTTGGCTTCAAGTATAACTACAGTTAGTTTCCCTGCAGTGGGTACATATCTAAGGGAAAAACAAATGTCACCCAATTTATTTTCCTACAAAAGAGAATATTACAATTGTATGTTACATAGATGGATGGATTGATTTTATGCCACTTTCAGCACTATTGGTTATTCCCTGGTTTTGATTGGTGGAGGAAGCAGAAGTGCCAGGATGGAACCTCGGCAGGAAAACTGGCAATCCTAGTCAATTATGATTGGAATAGAACGCACCTGCGATGTGTGGGGTTTGAATTCACGACCTCAGTGTTGATATGCTAGTGATACAGCACATGATCTACTTCTAAGTTTTTTGGTCTCTAGTTATAGTGGTTGTCTCACTGGCAATCATACCAAATCTTCCTATCTTTATACTTAGACCACTTGACCATTGAGTCCTCCGTTACATAGAGTACATATCTTAATAAAAACATATTGGATTCAATTTATTTTCTGAAAAATTCCTTGTTTTGAGTAATTTGTTTTTTTTTTCTCTTCATAAAATGTTCTCTAGTTCATTACTTGCAAACTGGTCATGTTGGATTAATTACAGTGTATCACTGAAGTTTAGCCATGTATCCAACTTATTTCTATTTTTTTTTTATTATGTTGAATACATTTCCATTAAAAAAAAAGTTTAAATTTCAAATATATATGCTTTTTATAGTTTAACATACAATTCATATGAAAATCCATGAAACAATTTTTTCAAGCAATATTTATTTCAACTTTTCAAATGCATGTACTGTAAATTCAGAAATTATTGTGTGCATTTATTATTGCGATTTTTGAAGAATGGACAAAAATGTGAGATAAATTATTGCAATTTCAGGAAAATCTGTATAGTCAGCTTTATGTGTTATATATCAGAATGCGAGGTCTTATTATTGCAATACTCTAGCTACCTATTGCATAATTCGCAAAGATAAAAACCTCGCATTAATTTTTGAATTTACAGTATCTGAAAGTACATGGACCTTTCTTTATTTCCAATTTTATAATTTTGCTGTACATGTATTATATGATATCCATTAAAAAAGACATCATTGATAAAAATGTTGATATTTTTAGTACAGACAGCAAACATTTCTAATATAAAATAATAGCTAGAGCTGTTATCTTGTATTAGGGATATCCAGGAGTGCTCCTAATTAGGAGTAACAAATAGTAGTGGTACCAACCTTAATCCCATAACAGTAATGCAATTGAACGATTATGTCTAATTTAACTGTAATTGAGATTGATTTTTTCCCTCTGTTTTATAACGCTGACGTCATATGTATCCGATAATCAGATTAAATATTTATTGGACATATTTATAGCTCAGCTAGGTGTTTGGAAATCTATGGCGATATTTAGAGGTGACAAATGAAAACTTAACGTTAATTATTTTACATTAGGATTATCTAAATTTAGAACAATTTCCGGTAGTTCATGACAGGTGTCAGTTTGTGATGGATAATGTTATATTAAGAAATGCTACCTGAAAAATTAATATTTAAATGGGTTACCTCATTTTCCTGGAAATTCTTTCAGAGGACATTGTCCTAAGAAAGTTTTAACAAACTCTAATGTAAATTGAGAATTGCAATAACTGGGGAAAAATCTAGACTGTACCATTTTAGCTCTGAGATGGGAACCATGATTTTTAGACCAAGAGCCAGTTTGTCGTTAAACATAAAAAAAAAAACAACTCAAAACATGCAAAAGTCAATATAATTCTTATATCATTACTTGACCTTTTCTTACCTTTTCAGAATCATTATCTGGACTAGCTACATCTCTCCATTCCTCTATAACTTGACAAAGGTCAACAGAGTTCAGAGGGACTTGTACTTGTCCTATTTGATCGTGTTTTGAAAATCTGTCGAAATCATAAATGGCAAACACCAGTGTCTTTGACCCTGTCTCAGCATAAGGTACATTCTGAAATATACAATGTAAAATTTATATTAACATATTTAACACCACTGTCCCAGGTTGGGGGAGGGTTGAGCGCTCATAAACATGTTTAACCCCGCCACATTCTTTATGTGTCTGTCCCAAGTCAGGAGCCTATAGTTCAATGATTGTTGTTGGTTCATGTCTGTCATATTTGTTTTGTTATAAATTAGGCTGTAGATTTCTCAATTGAATTGTTTCATATTTTTCATGTCGTGGCCTTTATAACCGACTATACAGTATGGGTTTTTCTCATTGTTGAAGGCTGTACCGTTGCCTATAATTGCTTACGAATCCACTTCATTTTAACTTTGGTGGATAGTTGTCTCGTTGGCAATCATACCTCATCTCCTTATTTTTATATTAGGCAATCCTGCAGCTATTGATTATGTAACAAACTTTTAAAATAAATCTATGGTAAAAATTACCTTCACATGCTTCCAATAATAAATAAAATATCTAATTAAAGTACAACTGTAATATTAATCGAAGAATTCAAATATAGAAAATATCAAACCATTGACCAAACACCACATTCAAAGGAGTAGGTCCAGTAAGACCCCTTTTTGGCCCCAAAATATAGCAGTTTTACAAAATTGTTAATATGTAAACTTTTAACTATTTATTGGAAAGTAGAATACTTCTGTTACATAAATATGGGCTGTTTTTGACAAAACACTGCACATGCATCAGGTACTAGCATCATTAAGTCATGCTAAATTACTGAAATCTTCAAAATTTTAGCATTTGAGTTAAATTTTAGATGGTTTCCGTCTTAAATGGAAGAGGCCGCATTTGTGTTCATTCTTAATATTTAAATGCAAGTTGTATTTGATGATAATACATAACATATATAAAGGTTGAGAGTGAACACAGATGCGGCCACTTTCATTTTTGACAAAAACCATCTGAAAAGTGACATATTATGGCATATTTGATAGATTTTCCATATTTAAGCTTGAATCTGAGCGTCTTTAATGATAAAATCAGTTCAAATCTGTCACATAAACTAATTGAATCGACTGAAGTAGACACTTAAGTGTTTAAAAAGTGACCAAAATCTTTCATCAGATGAACCTGAAATTTGAGGCCAAAATCGGCCCTTACCGGACCTACTCCTTTATCAGTGTGTTCCTTCATGAGTTGAATAGACGTATTTATACTTGTATGCAAATTTGTCTGCCATTACTTAAAATCACACAAGTTCCGTAAAATTTGAACATCACAATTTAAAAAATTTGACTTCATAATTAAAAAGTGATTGTTGCTTGACGTCAGAAGGTTATTCGGAGCAGATCTAAGGTCATTCGGAGACAAAATTCAGCTAAATACTAAAAATGTAAATACGTTTATATCATTCCATATTTAAATTCCTTGATAGTTTATTACATTGACTTTTTATGGAAATAAAGAGGAAAATACAAAGGAACTGTATCTTTTTCTAACCATCCTCAATTAGTTTTGATGCAACATCATGGGTCTTGGCAACACCCATTTTTGTATCTCGTCGGATGATTAAACTTAACAGATTTATTTGACATGTAAAATAATCAGTTTTTATTTTGTGATCCATGTAATAATATTCTTTAATATTATTAATTCGTATATTTTAACAAATTTGATTCGTTTAGGGATAGTCACATGTTAAACTATATTTTCGAAGGTAGAGAGAAAACGGCGGATAGCAAAAAGCATATTGCACAGCAAAATGCATATTGCATGGTTATTTTTAGAATATCTAAAAACCGATATACTTTGTGACGTCATGTAATGAATTTCAGGATATTGTTCAACGTTTTGAAACAAATGACATCTGTGATCGATTATTTGACAAAAATATTTTTCAAATACATAAGATGTCAAACAAACAAAAAAAAGTAAATGAAATAACAACTAATATGTTGTTATTGTCAAGGAGACAATATAATATCTATAAAATTCCAACAAAATCAAATGACGATTTTGATACAAATATGGTCGAAAATTAATAATATAACAAATATAGCCTTTGTATGAGGTCAATACAGGATATATCGACCCAAAGAAGTATATCGACCTCGGACTTCGTCCTCAGTCAATATACTTCTTTCAGGTCAATATATCCTTGTATCGACCTCATACAAAGGCTATATTTGTATATTACACGTGAACAGACTAATTTGGCTTTCCACTTCACGCCCATCAGGTTGTCTCCTAATAAAACCTGGTATATAGTAAAAGTGCAATTGCTCCTGTACTTAAGTTAAATGTCATGATGTTTAGAAATTGACACCATGGCGATAAGCACTTAATCATCATAACGTACTTCTAGGCCAATTATATAAATTACATGTAAATTGATATGATTTTTTTTTCATCTAAGGAAGTAGTTATCATGAAATATAACAAAACAATAAAAAAATAAACTAGAGGCTCTAAAGAGCCTGTGTGGTCGCTCACCTTGGTCTATGTGCATATTCAACAAAGGACAATCTACAACATTGTAGACGAGAATAGAACTCATGACAAAAATCTCTGTTTTGTTGATCTTGTAATGCTGATCATTTAGTCTGTTTAGTATCTCTCTATCTTCTTTAGTTTTGCTCAAAACACAAAAGAGCTAGGGTTAAAAAAAAAAATCCTCATTTAAGGGCAATCACTCCTATAAAGAGTGACAGTCTATTAACTATATCGGCAAAATTTGACTTGTTAGTAGATCATGCCTTGCTGATCATTTTTGTGATCTAAAGTGTCTATTTATCTATTATGATTTTTATCATATAAGGCAATATGCAAAAAAAATGGTAAAAATCGTCATTAAAGGGCAAAAATATATGGAGTTGTCGGACAATTTCCTGCATATTGTCTTAATTGTAGATCTTGTTTTGCTGATCATTTTTGCTTATTTAAGTTTCTATCTATCTATTACAATTTTTATGATATAAGGCAAAATGCAAAAAATTGGTAAAAAATCGTCATCAATAGGCATTAACTTTATTATTGTGATTTTTGAAGAATGGACAAAAATGTGAGATAACTGACGATATCAACCATGGAGACTTATTTGTAGAACTTGTCTTGCTGATCATTTTTGCAATTTAAAGTTTCTATCTATATATTATAATTTCAAGATAATAGGCAAAAATGAAAAAAAAAATGGTAAAATTTGTCATTTTTTAAAGTGCAATAACTCCTATAAGAAGTCATCTGACAGTTTTGATGTATATGAATAATTGGTAGAGCTCAACATTCTGAACATTTTTGCTCCAGTCAGATTTTTTCTATTTATATCGGTTTTCAAATTAATAGAAAAAACTTGCATTTTATGTACTCCTATGCTCTATTTTTAGCCATGTCGGCCATCTTGGTTGGCAGGCGGGGTCATTTTAAACTAAATACCCCAATAATGATTGTGGCCAAGTTTGGTTTAATTTGGCCTAGTAGTTTCAGAGGAGAAGATTTTTGTTAAAGTTAACGACGACGAAGACTATGACGGACGACAATGGACGACGGATGCCAAGTGATGAGAAAAATGAGCAAAAAATAAAAGAAGAATGTTTCCGAGGACAAAATGCCCCTGCTCAAGATACAATCAAAGGTCAAAATGGGACGGAAAGACAGAAGGACGGACGGTCAAGGGTAACACTTAATGCCCCTGTCGCCTACAGCTAGGGCATAAAAACAACAAATATTGCAGACAGCAATCAATGACAATTCCTGAATTACAAACTCTTGACTTATAACAGTCACAAAACAATTTTAAAATATTTTTTTACAAAAAGAGAGAAAAAAAAAAAAAAACCACAAAGAACCGATTGAAGAGTTCTCAGTTTACCATAATTTTTCTACTGTTTGACAAATTCTTCCAAAGTAATTTTATGAAATTACACCGAGAGCTTGAATGCAGACAGTTGACATTCATTTATGTAATTCATATGCTCTTTTAATAGAAAAAAAACAATGGTAAAATATAAATCAATAATGTTGTAAATTACGCTGAAATAGACTAAAATAATTTAATAATATTCTAACATGTTCATTGTAATTGAAATATTTCTATAAAAAACTTTTTTCATCTGACATTTGAAATAAAACTTCCTGCATCAGTTTAAGTACTATTATGTAACCAGCTGACATTTTCAATTTTTATTTAAAGAGAACTGCGACCTCCAAATGTGACCTTTGTGTAACATTATATACATCAAGCTGGTGCCTAAAGTCTGATTCAATTGATTATTTTTCTTACAATTATTTGTTCTTACATTAGATATTTATGTTTTTAATTTTACACATGGGAGAAGTTACCTCCCCCTAACTCTCCTATATCAACAGTTATCTCCCATTGGGAATTGGAGGACATCTCCTTTTATTCATATAAATGGAAAATTAAAATTCAATGATCTATGCAAAATCATGAATTTCAAATGAAAAAAGCTGTTTGTTTAACAAAAATAGAAAGTAAATAATTAATTCCCATGAATCCATTATAATATAATAAAGGTGACATGATGTTCAGCATTAATAAAATCTTGTTTTCATAAAATTCAGTATGGTTCTGTTACATGGTCTTAAATTTTTAATATATTATTTTGGAATAAGTGAGTTATTCTCATTGATTTAGATTTTCAATTATTGGGGCTGACTAAATTACTATTTAACATTGTTACCAGACAGAGCCAAAGGAAATTTTAACTTCCCAAGAGGCATAGCAGTAACACTATGGATTCAAATATTTTGATAGCAGCAACGACAAATCAAGTTTTAATCTAGCATTTTTCTTTTTAATTAATGTAAAGGATTCAGAATAATGCATCCATTTGTAAATTCTCATTCTCTCTGCACCATAGAATAAACAAATACAGCAGTGAAAGTGAATATATTCCATTCCTGTTTTGGATGAACTCTTTCAATTAACCTCTTTTGCTTATTTTTTTCCTTTATCTAGTAGAAATAATTGCAGTACCTTGAATATAAACGTTTCATTGAAGACAGGATTAAGCGTTTTTCTGTGGACTTTCGTCTCAAATTTCTTCTTTTTGTCAGGAAGCAGGTAGACTTTAACATAAGGATCCGATGTCCCAGACATATCCATTCCTGGCAGATCAGCGGCTTGAATCACACCAACACTCAACTAGAAATAAAAAAATCATAAGATTAAACAAAATGACCTAAGGCCAAAACAAGTAATAGAAATACAAGTGACTAAAATTTCCCCTGTAGTTAAAATTTAAAATCGTGTTACCCTCTACACCTTCAAACAATTGTCTAACTTTTGAAATTTTTTTTGAAATACACACTGTAAATTGGGAAACTTTCGCGACTGGTTAATTTTTACTAATTTTGTGATTCAAATAAAATCAACAAAAAGAAGATACGAGTCAGAAACAAACAAAAAAAATACACAAAAAAAAACCTATCCATTGTCAGAAAGGAAATTCACTTTTACACTGAACAATTTAATGATCTCTAAGGCTCGTGCTTGATTTGAGATAAACCAAAGACTTTAGAGCTATCCTTCTATTGAGGAATAAGAGCAAAGGTTAGTAAGTTCAACATCAGAACAATATGTCTGGGGTGGGCTGACACTAATCTTTCTGCTAACTTTTTTTGTAACCTAGCATATAAAAGTTTCTATAAACTACCAAAGGAGGATTAATTTTCATATCATAATCATTGTTCTCCCCAGGATTTTCGGATAGTACCATGGTAAGCACAGCAACAAATTAGAGATACCCGTACTTGACCAATATAGTCTGTAATGTGTAACAACAAAGTAATGATTTGCGTGGAACATAATCTTCATCACTTCCCAACACATTTACTCTTATCTTATTACCTTACGTATGGATCATAGTAACCATAGCCTGGGGAGAACACAGTAATAATGACATGTTTGAGGTCAGAATATGGTTGTTACTGGTAAATTTTATTCATAAATTTTGTCGACTCAGCTGTGATTTAATGGCTGGACATATTGTTTAAACATGTGTCTATTGTTGATGACCTTATGTTGACCTCTAAATGTCTTTTGATTTGCTATTCTATGTCATTGGGCTACTGTCTCATTTACATAAGACCCACATCTCCTTTTGTTCATATTCACAATAGACTTGTAAGCTTAACATCCATCCATCAATTCAAAACTGATTTTCTTTTTTTAGACTGACTACTTGTACTGGTACCAGCTTGAGAACATAATAGCACAACACAAAACTCTCTCAGATAGAACATTGTCTACAATACCCCGCTGACCAAAACGAATGTCAAATGTATTTGTTTGGAAGTTTATTGAGTAAAATCTATGAAAAACAAATACTGAAACCATCCCACAACAGCGATCGGTACGATTCCCTTCCCAATAATATGGAGAAACCGTTCACATGACTTGATCCATTTATTTTGATCCAAACTTAATTATACAATCAATAACATACATGAATGGCGTTGGTCCATTTTCTCTTTGGTTTCACACTATTAATAGACATAAGTAGCGGCAGGAAATTAATTTCTCTTTGAAATTAAATTTTAGATGTGAGGTGAGTCCTTATTTCTATATCACTGCTCATTTCAAAATCTAATTTTCGTACAGCGTTTACCAAGTTAATATAGGACATTGATCAATAGAGATGCATTATCGAAAAAAAAAAAATATAGACAAAATGGAAATCTATTTAGAATATCTGGTAAAATCAATTGGCTTTTCAATTTATGAGCAAATAGATCTTCCTTTTAATCAAACACTATCATGATAATTCTATAAATAACTCAACTACTGCTCGAGGCAGGTGTTTAAGTTAATATGAATAAGGGTTGAAGGTTATAAAATGAAGATGGGTCAAAGGTCATTCACCAAGTAGTATGATTAAAGTCCTACATGTTAAAATCTGTGACAAAATCTAATCGTGGTGTCAGTGTATTAGAGTTCCTTTGACTCCCGACTTTTGCCTGACTAAATTGATCTATTTTTATCAAAACTTGATTAAACCATCAGTAACATACATTAAACCATCAATTACATAAATGAATGGCATTAGCCCATTTCCTCTTTGGTTTAAAAATATATAACATATAATGATTTCTAAATTAGGACATGTAGGAGTTGTTCATTTAAGAGATGAAAGAGTTGGATTTAAATCCAAGCACTAGGTCTATTTGATCAAAAATAGAAAAAAAAAGGATTGCTTGTGTTTAACTGCCACAGCAGCACAAAAAGGCTATATCAAGTCAATTAAATAAAATATTGGTTTCACAAAATAATTGTAAATCTTGCAGAGAATCAATTCTTATCATTAGACTTAGTATGCCAAATACCTTTAATTTGTAAAAAGCATCGGCTTCCGGTCTTTTTTTTAGAAAATACAAATAAACTATGAAGTACTAGTGTCTGACAGATCTAAAAAGCACACATACATTACAACTCATTGCTTCCAAGCTGATGACAAAACATAAAGCTATTCAAGATGCTGAAGAGAAGTACCAGAGAAAAGAGTGACGAAAATATTTGTTTGAGAAACGGTAAAAAAAATGGAAGAAGGGACAGACAGGCAAGGTGATGAATGCAAGGAAAGTGGGGGATTAATAAAATAAAAATGTTATACTTCTGTTGTATTTCAGAAAACTATTCTTTCAAACAATAAGATATTTATCTCCCATTGCACTTTTCAAAATTATAAAACATTGCAAAAATTTTCAATATCAATTTTTCATCTATTTCATGTCTGTTTCCTATAAAACCACAATTGATCATCACTTAACAAACTCCCAATATCCATGTAAAGTCGATAACACATATATTTTCCGGTATTTTTCTCATTTCTCCCGTAATATATTAAACCTTAGATTGTTTTTATAGCAGAAAATCAATGAGCCTTTGCTTGAAGAAGTCCATAAACCTATTGTCTGATATTTGTTTTCACTTATGATGTACCATGGGAAATCGTATCTACAAACCACAGCAAAATCAATTTTCTGTTTACTATAGTAGGTGGACATATTCAATCCTATAAATTATTGTAACCAATGTTTAATACACATTAAGGTATCGTAAGTAGGGACAACATAAAACTAATCAAATTTTGTTTACTAGGAACAAATCTGTAAATAAGATCTTTAATACAGAATAATTGGTTTATTTACTGCAAGTAGGTTTAATTTAAGTCACATTTAGAAGAAATTAAAAGTAAATATCTTTTGTACCAAATGAACAAACTCAATTTGGACCTTTGTGGTCAAGTGGTCAAATAGATGTGGATGTCACTTAAGTGTATTACTGCTGCTTAAGTAGTGATTCAGGATTGGACTAGTTATATACCAAAATGGCAAGGCTGTGCGGTCACTAACTGGGAAAAATCTGGGACAACCACCAGTTCTACTCATAGAGCAGCTCAGTATGCACATGTTTTTGGAAGAAACAAATTTAATTTCCAAAAGATGGTAGAGCAGGACTGATCTCCTGCTCTACTATCTTTTGGAAATTGGGACACAGATGCCCCCCACTTGCATATTATGTTATAAAGGGACATAACTAGAGAACTGTAAAAGTGACGCCACCCAAATTCCAACTCAATCTGTATTTTATGGTAATAAGCAATGTGTATGAGTTTCATAACATCTGGTTGATGCAAATCTAAGTTAGAGAACGGAACAAAAAATTCAGTAATATTTCCATTTGTGAAGAGGCATAACTCTAGAACGGTAAAAATGACATCACCCAAATTCAAACTTGATCTGTGTTTTAAGGTAATAAGCAGTGTGTATAAGTTTCATAACGTTTGGTTGAGGCAAACTAAATTTAGAGAACGAAACTAATTGTTGGATGTACAGATGGGCCCGGTAATACTTTAAAATACCCCCTCCCCCACTGCGGAGCCATAAAAAGTTGCACACCAAAAATAGGTGAGTGTATATTTCATCATGTTACCCTGTTTTTTGACAGATTGACTATTGAAGTCAGAGGTGAGTTTATATAATGTGATCATGAGCCAGACCATTTAGATGTGATTTAAAAAAAATTGAATTTTGATATTATCACTAGTTTTGACACTTTTAAATCAATTAATCTTAAGCATAAATATAATGTAGCAATCCATTTATAATCACATGAGAACTTAGCAGTCACCATTTTTGATTACCCGACTACTTTATTCCCCTACGAAAGCCTCAAGATTCAATATTGACAGCCACTGATATGTATCATGTATTTATGTATTTAGAGCCTTTTCTATATCCAAACAAGAATATTCTTGAAACCATCATGTGTGTATCAATCAATTCTAAATGGATTTTCCAATATTTACATCTCAATTGAATACCAACTAGTTTTAGTTTTCCCTAGCCTCTACTCTACTAACAATTATAATTAAGATATTCTGTACAATGAATAGCTAAGTCTTCTGGAGAATTAATCATGTACAAGTTTTATGATCGCAAACTGGGAATAGAAAATGTTTAACATCACTATTAATTCATATATGCCATGTTTTTAGAACTGTGAGTAATTTGAATGAATAAGGATTTCATTATTTAAAACTCATACTTTTTAATGATTGGCATTTTAAAATTTTGCATTTAAGTAAGTATTCAAGAAATGCTCATGACACTTTCCATATTATACAAAACAGCAACATAATTTATAAAAATTGTTAGTTTACCATACCTGCCAACTTTTGAAAATCGCCATGGGGGTTTTAAGTTTGCTGCAACATTTTTAACGATAACAATTTTTCACAGCGTTTTACTTTACATGTGTTTCTAAATGCATGCTTTCATAAATTGCATGAAAAATTGCACTTTCTACTGGTATTACAGAGGGGGAATGAGAAATATAAGAATGGAGGGCCTAGAGGGTATGTCTGGAAAAAACGTTTTAGCTCATATTTTTTTAATTTTTACAAGTTAAAAAAAAAAAAAAAAAAAAACTAACTGTAGACCCTCGCCCTCCTGACCCATCAATGTCAGTTTACTAATGTTTACTAATAACCCCAAAATTCATGAAATTCTGAAAAGTGTAACCTCAAAAATATCCAATTTGATTTCAGATCGGTAATAGACAAGATTAACTGGAGCAATGTACACCTCACCATATGATTTTGTGAATAATTGAAGCCTGAATGATGGCTTAAATATCTATTTTTGATTAATTTGTATTGAGGGCTTGCTGTTTTATCTACATTTAACTCCTTTCATCAATATTATTCTTTTTGGACGAATTCTGACTTTAATAGGACATATTAATTGGGACATATTTATATTTTAGTATTTGTGATGGCTTTTCTTTACTACATGACATTGACGTAAAAACTCAATACACATACACTAATAATCTTCTAGTTGAAAGGATCCAAAGTTGTACAAAATTTGTCTATTGATTTCAATGTTTACTGATAATTTTCATACGAGTTTTCACCAGTCAATCAATAGAACAGCAAACTCCAACAAAAACTGCATCTTTTCCATCTATATTCTTTGTAAATAATTTGTGCTTTTCAACAGGGATTAATTCGTCTTATGTTTTCTTCAGACTTAATCTGCGACAAATACATCTTTTCAGTCACTTTCTAATTCTCAAAATATTACATCACGGAATAATTAACAAGATTCAATTCATTTCTCCTAAACAAATTATTCCTATTAATTACGCTAGGAAAGAGAAATTCAGATTACAGAATGCAATAATACGATTTTAACCTAGAATTTTAACTCAATTCTGCTCAGTCACAAAGATAATTGATCAACACACTTATTATCAGTAGCCATTTTTTCTTTTCCCTATCTTCCTAATTGGGTTTACAACCGAATAAATTGAATCAAATCGGTAATCCATTTAAGGTATCGGTATGAATTGTAATTAACCATGTGATCACTGAAATGATTAGGATGTAAAGTACAAAATCTATAATGTGACAGTAATTTTCTAATAACATCTGCAAGCTTAAGAAAAAAACATACCATATGTTAGTATTAATTCTAAGTACATAAAAGTGACCAATGGGCTATTACATTCTTCATTACATTTGTTTGTTTTTATAGTGATTAAGATTATAACACAATGTTGACTGCTGTACCCCTATTTTTGACATTTTTACCTATTGTGTCTGTTTGTTTTGTTCACGCATCGCATCGTTGTCAATATAATGGAATTTGATGCGACTGTCATACAAGTGAGAGGTTAAGCTAGCTATAAAACCAGGTTCAATCCACTATTTTCTACATAAGAAAATGCCTGTACCAAGTCAGGAATATGACAGTTGTTATCCATTCGTTCAATGTGTTTGAGCTTTTGATTTTGCCATTTGATTAGGGACTTTCCTTTTTTAATTTTCCTCGGAGTTCAGTATTTTTGTGACTTTACTTTATACCATAATCTGAATTTCACTTCCCAATTAGGCTATCTGGACCATACATTGTTCCATATTGTTTTTTTTGTGTTTTTTTTTCGGAGGAGTCTTGTGTTAGTGGTTGCTGTGGTTAGCATGAGTGTCAGTTTTGTATGTTATTTTTAGTGTTTCCTGTTATCCTTGAAATATTTATTTCCCATAAATATGAAAATGAGACAATGTGGTAAATTGATTGTCAATTAGACAACTCTTCACAAGAGACCAAAATATAAGCAACTATAGGTCACTGAACAGCCTTCAACAATGAAAATCCATAGCCTATAGCAAGTTACATCTTTAATGTCTTTATTACATCTGAGTATTAGACATCTATAAATAAGTGCAGTTTCATAACATGCAAAAAATATAAAAAAAACTTCTTATACAACCAAGTCTAGATACAAAATCAAAAAAACCCATCCAATTACATAATTCCTAAACCATAAAAACAATGATACAAAATATATAGAAACTTAGGCAAACAATGACCATGTGGTTCCTGACCTATTTACTTAAGTGTTTCTTAGACTGTCTGTCTGATGCCACTAAATTTCAGAAAGCCTTTCAGTATCAGATAATTCCAGTAAAACCATTACTAAAACAAAATTTACAGCAATGTTTTTGTGTGTTGTCCATTAAGACAGAAAATATTCACTTTACATTAGAACCTAATTTGATACAAAAGTACAAACCCATCATGACACCGAAAAGTGGAATGAAATTAAAGAAAACAACTTAATTAGGTTATCATGCCAAAAAAAAAAAATGGCAATGTGCTTATGTAAACAAATTGTTGAAACAAGCACTTTAGCTAGCTTGTGACTGAATTGTATACAATAATAGGTCACACCAAACAGCCAAATCAATATGAGATTTTTGAACATAAACACCACAGACCACCATTTTATAATGTAATCATAGAAATGTTCACTTTATAGCATTCATTGTATTAATTATTTAGATTACAAACTTTGTAGGTATATAATTCACCACAAGATTTTGGCCATCTTAACCATTATACTATTGAAACAATTATCTCCCCTTACACTCACCTCTCCTTTCTGGAAATCATAATCTAACTGGAATTGTAACTTTCCAAGTTTGACCTCAGATTTTGTACTTTCTGCATCCTCGTTATCCTCCATGTTTTGTGTAAGATCAGCTACGTCAGGTTGTACCTAGAATACATATCATCATACATATTTAAACCTGTCAATATTGTTTTGAAACTTGCCAATTTTTCTTTGACTTATGATTTTTGATTGTCCCTATGGTGTATTCTGTGACATTTCTTAATCTTATTAACTAAATAGAAGATAAAGAAAGAAATAAAAGCACTGTTTCATTTTTTGGGGTTTTGACAAGTCCGGGTAGGGATTTTGTGTAAATGATTAATATACAATTTCCCTTTGATTCCCAATAATCAGAGACAACTGACGTGGTAAAAAGTTTGGACACAAATGAAATCCTAGCTCTGTTTAATGTTATATATGTTCTCTTTGATATATTCTTGTCTTTTTTCTAGCAGAAATATCTGGAAAAACTGAGCCAGCAACCTCTTTATTTTTATGTATAGAAAATGAAAGGATATGGAGTAAATGTACATGGGACAAAATCACACACAATACATAGAAAACATAGAAAATTATCAATGAACAGGGCTTTTATTCCTGTTCTTCATCATATTTGTTAAAAGTGCACATACTTCTGATAAAAAGTACCTATTTATCCTGCCTTGGCAATACTTTTTGTATATTTTGGTTTTATCAGCTCTTCAGTTTTTGGATTTTTAAATATTTTGATCTGGAGCATCACTGCAGAGAAGACATTTGTTGTAGAAATATGCATCTGGTTCAGTAAAATTGGTATGTTAAAGTTATTATTACAATTTTTTCTTTATTTATCAAAATGTTGATTTTTTGCCTTTCAGCAGCAAACATTGTCCATTAATGGTTTCAATATATCATTCTCACCTTTTCCTTGTAAGAATTTCCTAGCAAAGCAACATTACGTAAATCAACGGCCCCTTTCAGTCCTTTTTTCCCTTCCTTCTTTTTCTTTTTCCGACAGATACATCGTTTACATATACAATAACAACAACAACCAAGCACTAATAACACACCAGCTCCAATCAAAATCAATGCCCATATTGGTACTGAAAAGATAAATATAAAACATGATCAAAATCAATGCCCATATTGGTACTGAAGAGATAAAAATAAAACATAATCAAAAGCAAAGCCCATATTGGAACTGAAAAGATAAAAATAAAACATAATCAAAATCAATGCCCATATTGGTACTGAAAAGATAACTAGAGGCTCTCAAGAGCCTGTGTCGCTCACCTGATTCTACTTTGGTTTTGGAAATCATGTAAAAATAGATTAAAATCATAACAGATACCATAATAATGAGTGAGGCCAAATTTGGTTTAATATTGGTCCTGTAATTTAATAAAAAATCCTGGTGGCCATCTTCAACAGTAAATCGGCAACAAAGTAGCAACACTTAATCAGCACCTCATAAGAAACATTTATGCCATGTTTTGGTTTCATTCCATTCAGTGCACCTCTAGAAGAAGCATTTGTATGTATTTCCCATAGGGTCTTATGTTAAAGGAAGTCCCCCCATTGGCGGCCATCATGGATGAAGGATCAGCTTCAAAGTAACAAAACTTAGTCAGCACCTCATAAGGAACATTCATGCCATGTTTGGTTTCAATCCATTCAGTATGTGGTTCTCTTAAAGAAGACATTTGTATGTATTGTCCATAGGGTCCTTTGTTAAACATTGTCCCCATCTGGCAGCCATCATGGATGAAGGATCAGCTTCAAAGCAACAACACTTGGTCAGCACCTCAAAAGGAACATGCATGCCATGTTTGGTTTCATTCCATTCAATGGTTCTCTAAAAGAAGACATTTGTATGTATTTCCCATAGGGTCCTATGTTAAACTAAGTCCCCCGCTGGTGGCCATCTTGGATGATGGATCCGCTACAAAGTAACAACACTTGGTCAGCACCTCATAAGGAACATTCATGCCATGTTTGGTTTCATTCCATTCAGTGGTTCTCTAAAAGAAGACATTTGTATGTATTTCTCATAGGGTCCCATGTTAAACTAAGTCCCCTGCATGGCGGCCATCTTGGATTATGGATCAGCTTCAAAGTAACAACACTCGGTCAGCACCTCATAAGAAACATTCATGCCATGTTTGGTTTCATTCCATTCAGTGGTTCTCTAAAAAAAGACATTTGTATGTATTTCCCATAGGGTCCAATGTTAAACTAAGTCCCCTGCTGGCGGCCATCTTGGATTATGGATCAGCTTCATAGTAACAACACTTGGTCAGCACCTCATAAGGAACATTCATGCCATGTTTGGTTTCATTCCATTCAGTGGTTCTCTAAAAGAAGACATTTGTATGTATTTCCCATAAGGTCCTATGATAAACTAAGTCCCCCGCTGGCGGCCATCTTGGATTATGGATCGGTTACTTTAACACTCGGTCAGCACCTCATAAGAAACATTCATGCCATGTTTGGTTTCATTCCATTCAGTGGTTCTCTTAAAGAAGACATTTGTATGTATTTCCCATAGGGTCCTATGTTAAACTAAGTCCCCCGCTGGCGGCCATCTTGGATGATGGATCCGCTACAAAGTAACAACACTTGGTCAGCACCTCATAAGGAACATTCATGCCATGTTTAGTTTCATTCCATTCAGTGGTTCTCTAGAAGAAGTTCAAAATGTAAAAAGTTAACGCCGACGACGCCGGACGAAGGATGACGGACGCCAAGTGATGAGAAAAGCTCACTTGGCCCTGTGGGCCAGGTGAGCTAAAAATAAAACATAATAAAAAAACAATGCCCATATTGGTACTGAAAAGATAAAAATAAAGTATAATCAAAATCAATGCCCATATTGGTACTGAAAAGATAAAAATAAAACATAATCAAATTTTCATCAATTCTAAAATTTTCAGAAGAACTAAATCATTTTCTTCCAGTATCATACTCAAAAGTAGATGATTGATTGATTGTTGGTTATCTAATGCCTCTTTAATCTATATCATGGAGGCATTTTTTATTAGCAGAGGAAGCTGGAGTATCCAGAGAGAACCATTAGCTTTTTGCAAGAAAACCTGGCAATCGTAGTAAATTGAGTGGAATAGAACGCATCTTGCCACAAGCTGGTTGATACTTTTCTGATTGTCTGCTACTATAGTGGTGATCACTGTAGATTAACTTCACCCTTATTTCTTTTTCCTTTTCACTGTTTTTCAGTGGTTGTTGTTGGTTGCTGTTTTTCATATTTGTTTTCGTTTATTTTTTTGTCATAAATTAGGCCGACTGCACATTTTGTCATGTCAGGTCCTTTTAAAGCTGATACATGGTAGGGGTTTTGCTTATTGCTGAATGCCTTATGGATACCTATGGTTGCTAAAATTCACTTCATTTGGACTCTGTTGGATCTTTTTGGGGATCATACCACATCTCCTTATTTGATACTAGACACTGATAATTATAAATACATTTTCTTTTCACTCACGTTGCCTCATTTCAAGTACACCAAGCATAAGATTTATATAACCTATATATAATTATCTGTACTTATAAACTAAATTTATTTTAATGGATTTAGTCAATAGTTACCAACACATTAATGTACTCTAGTAGGACATAACACAAAACATTAGATACTGATGTTGTGTAATAAAGACCTGAACATTTTTCTTTAAATAGTGAGTATCCTTCAGGCCATTTTAAAGATAAAATATTTGGATTATACCTTCCATTCATCGACTATAATAATAGGTCAAATCAAGTCCATTCAAGCATATCATCATCAATTTAGAACAGAGTGAGTTTTGTTCTAGGGATATGTTTTGTATATAAATCAAACTAAAATATTATACATGTATATATCATAAAGGAAGTAGGAACTGTTGAATGGAAGATTTAAATTATCACCCTAATTAATACCCATGCACAACCAAGTTTTCAGTAAAAAAAAATAAATTAATAAGTACATGTTTATGTTAAAACTGACCTCCTCCACACAAGTATATATATTTTCAGGGTAACTCCATTCCCCTTTTCAAAAACCATGTTCTGCAACTTAGTTTTAGATATTCAAGGATGAAATTTATCATTTACTATATCTATAGTCACAATTATCATATACAGAATGTGAATTACTGCAAATATTAGTTCAAGACTTCTACTGTATAAAAAGTCCTTTAATAAAGATTTATAAAGAACACTAATATAAGACCTAGCTTTTGTCATGTTTGTTAAACCGCTGTTGTTTATCATAAGAGTGTACCAACTATAGTCAAATGCATTTTGGGAAATAATCAAATTTTTAACTTATAATGTTCTTTGGCTTCTGTTAATTATGCTCACAGATCTTAGTTTCCTTGTGAATTAACAATGATTAATACTTTGTAATAAACTTCATACATCTTTTTTAAAGGGAAAATTAGAATATCATGTCACAGGCCTGTCTGCTGAAGATTCTCTTGCCAGACAATTGGTAGATATATCAAATTCTGGTAGCACTGTTGGTTATTTCGTGGTCAGTGCTCAGAAGTACCAACATCCTTTAGCAGTAAAACTGACTAACCTAGTCCATTAATTAAGATTGGAGTGGAGCACACCTGCCATGTACAGGGTTCCAACTCACAACCTGTGTTGACAGGCTATATAGCTAGTGATACAGTAGTTGGACTACTTAGACCGCTCAGTCACCAAGGCCCCAATACTAGATTAAACTTAAACTGACCTTCCTGTCCTAGTATCAAAGACATTGAAGTACTTAAATTCCTTTAAATTATAAAAATTTATAAACATCTTCCATCTTAAGTGTTGCTAAAACAATTCAAAACATAAATAAGGATATATAAACTAAATTTAAAAGAACCTAAGTAACTTGAAAAGGATGTTTAGTTTTTATCAATAAAGAATTAAATGTATAACCAATAGTTTTGTAAAATGAGGCGATGCAAATTTTCATGCCACGTAATCAACAAATATTTTCAAATTAATAAATAAAATCTAGGTCAAAATGTTACATCAACCAAAACAGTTTTGTATAATTTGTGTACTGGCAATAATATACTTGAAGGGCATTGAACTTTAAAGTCATAAAAAGTTGACTTTTTTTTCTATTTTTAAGGAAATGATCTACCGGGGTACTGCATTTATATGAAAGTTTTAAACAAGAAATCATCGCAAGTTCAAACTGTTTAAATCACATATATTCTTAACAGGGTATAATTGAATCTTGAACTTTGATTTATGGAAATGGGAAAGAATTTGCTTTATTTTTTACTTTTACATTATAACAACTGTAGATCTCCTCAATGGCACAAAAACTAACATTTCTTTGATTTATTCTCCTTTTTTGAATGTGTTTTGTGTAATTGGGTGCCACATGTGGAGCAGGATCTGCCTACCCTTCTGGAGCGCCTGAGATCACCACTTGTTTTTTTATGGGGTATGTGTTGCTCAGTCTTTAGTTTTCTATGTTGTATTTTTTATACTGTTGTTTGTCTTTTGGTCGTTTTTACATTTATTGCCATGGCGTTGTCAGTTTGTCTTTGACTTATGAGTTTGAATATCTCTTTGGTATTTTCCAACGCTCTTTTACTGAACAGTCAACTTGAATTCAATTTAAATCTCATTAAAAGATAGAATTACCACAACTTCAATTAGAACTGAAACTGATACTATAAAACCTGTTACTTTTGCGTGCTTGCAAAATATCATAGAATAATTATATAAATATAGTAAATAAAATATCCCAAAGCAAATTGTTTGCTTTAACAAATCAGCAACAGTTTCAACATCCATTGTTGACTAATTTTTCATCACCAAATATGCAGGTATGATTACAAATTAACAATATAAGCTATGCTTCCTACTTACATAGGATACTGTGGATTCATTATTATTCGTTGGATACCAATTTTCATGGATTTCGTGGGTACGGGTGAACCACAAATTTTAAATGTTCAACGAATATTGGCACATTTTCTGTAAGGTTGGTGGCGACTTTGGCAAAACCATGAAATTAAATATCCAAAAATACGAAAATGCAAGTTTTTCTAAATCCATGAAAATTGGTACCCATGAAAATAAATGAATCCACCACAGTAAATGTTTTTTCTTTATTTGGTTTCATTTAAGAAGTATTTTTTAGACTTTAAAATGTACATAAACCTTTAATATTTTTAAGCAACATCGAACAGTTGAGGAGAGTTTAAGGCTATTACAGCTGAAATTTTAATTCTTGTTTTTTGTTGGTAGTTGTAATTGTTAGTGCTTTTACAGTTATAACAAAAATAACAATAACAGCAAACTGACAAAAATACTTTTTATGCATAATATGCAACACTGTTAGTGATGCATTTCGACAAAATATATCTTCATTTTTTGCTTAAAATCTCCAATAATTTATGTTTTTAATATTTATATATTGAAATGAATAGTTTATTGCAAATTATTTGTCAAAAGCTAATGAGAATAATGTATTATATATATATATGTCATCCTTTTGTACAGCTGGGAATATTATTTATTTCTTTGATTGGACCATTCCTTTATCACTATGGATATAAAGTGTCAGCTGCTGGAATACTTGAATCTATTCATTCTGACGTTCATAAAATTCTGGGAAAATCTGGAGACAGCAGACCAGTTAATGGTAAGGAAAGATATAATTTAAATGAAATAAAAGAACAATGTTCCAGCTAGTCTTTGCACTTAACTAGTAAATTCTTCGTGTATACATTTAAAAACAAACAATGCAAACAGTAATTTTTAAGTCTTTGTTGTTGCTTTAACATAAAATTGAACCCTTTACTTACATAGCAGGTCAGAATACTGGCAGGACAACCACAGCCTTTTATTTCCCAGAATTAACTTTTTTGAGAGTGATTCTCTCATTCAAATATTTTTGACACTGCATACTAAGATTGGCAATCATTAACCACATCTCCTATATTATATATTAATCGTATGTTAGAATGATTGCATAAATTTCATATTATAATTTTAGAGAAATATAAGCCAGCCTTCCTTGCCAACTTGTCTCACACATTAAGCAACCTTAAATCTAACCAGATAGTAAAGTTCGACTCAGTAATAACAAATATCGGTAAACGCTACAGTCCACAAACTGGACAATTTACATCCCCAGAAGATGGGATATACATGTTTTCTTGGACTTGTTTGACTCCCCCTGGAAGCAGATTTGAAACAAGACTTGCCATAAATGACAATTATATATCCGGTAATAGAGCAAATGCTCAAAACATTAATCAATATGTTCAAGCCACAAAGAATGTTGTAGTACAAATGAAAAAAGGAGATGTAGCTACTGTGAGAGTGCTTTCCTACACTGGTTTATCATTATACGGAGATGGTAATTACTTTTCATCTTTCTCTGGTTTTATGATTTAATATTACATATAATTAAATTCATAAAAATAAAATTAATAAAAATAACGTCTTGATCTTTCTTTATATTTTCATTAAAAATATACACATGCAACAAATAAAGGCAACAGTATTATACCGCTGTTCAATAGTCATAAATCGATTAAGCGAAAAACAAATCCCGGGTTACAAGCTAAAACCGAGGGAAACAAATCAACTATTAGAGGAAAACAACGGAACAACAGAAACATTGAACTGCAACAAAAACAAACACCAACATACATAGAAACAGACTATTTGATAACAACTGCCATATTCCTGACTTGGTACAGGACATTTAAAGAAATAAATGTGTATAGTGTCCACATGTGGACACAGATGATGCCCCCGCTTGCATATCATATAGTTATAAAGGGACATAACTGAAGAATGGTAAAAGTGACGCTACCCAAATTTGAACTTGATCTGAGTTTTGTGGTAATAAGCATTGTGTGTAAGGCTCATAACATTTGGTTGAGGCTAACTTAAGTAGAGAACAGAAACTAACAATTCAGCAATTTTTCTATTTGTAAACACGCATAACTCTAGAACGGACAAGGGTAAAACTTAATGCCCCCACCGCTACGGCGGGGGCATAAAAATGGTGGGTTAAACCTGGTTTTATGGCTAGCCAAACCTCCCACTTATACATGTTATATGGCATCGTTAAAAATACCGCTAACATGACAACACTACGTTACAGGAATACAGTACAAACAAACGCAACAACACTCGGCACAGAGAAATACATAAATGAATAATATAATAGTACATTACAACATGTAATCCACAGAATAACAACAAACTCTTTGAAACATATGTATTAATAAAAGTAGATGTTGAGTATACATCAATGAGATATCAACCTTAACAAAAGACATCTAGAAGTCAACCTACAGACTTAAACAATAGAAAGGTGATATATACACAATGGCAAGTTCTTAATCGACAGAGTCTAAACAAATTTAACAAAAAATATCAAGGATCTTGCTGCCATCATTACCAATTTCACACAATAAACAAAGAGCATTAAAATCTGACATAAGACAAAAACTATTCTTGATTTGGGACCTTGTGAACTTAACCAAATAACTTGCAATTGGTTTGCATTTTTCATATTTTCAAACCAAAATTATCCATGCTATACTCTGGGAAATCTTTGGTAGTCACCAGAACAAATCTGGTTTACAGGAGCAATATTAATTTCAAACAAAGATTTAAATGAAATAGAGTTTGGTTCCATCTCATTTGACTAAATAAGATTCTACAGTGACTTCTCCAGGACATTCTTCTATTTTCAAAGATGGTATTAGAAGATCATAAGTGCTTATGTTTCTGTATGCTAGATTTCGATCACCTATAAATAAAGCTTTTGAACTTGAACTTAGAGCTTTGAGGACTTAGATGAAGAAACCATATGCTTCATTTGACTTTATGACATTAAAGTTGGAAAAAGTTACTAACACATTGTCTTTCCTAAGAACACTTCAAAGACTTTAGACTAATTTAGTCTATCTTTGAAAATAGAAGAATGTCCTGGAGAAGTCTGACACCGTATAAAATCTTATTTAGCCAAATGAGCTGGAACCAAACTCTATTTTAGTTAAATGTTTGTTGAAATTAATATTGCTCTTGTAAACCAGATTTGTTCTGGTGACTACCAAAGATTTCCACAAGTTTAGCATGGATAATTTTGGTTTGAAAATATGAATAATACTGAATTAATGCTTTAAACATGAGCAAAAAATCATGTCTCTGAAACATTTTAAAAACTTAAACATGTCATTCCCAATCAAATGAGGTCTTGCAAAGGGGAAATAACTCTCATTTTAAAATAAGGTAACAAATCATGGCAAATCGTTTTCAAGTATTATTGCTAGTTTTGCAATTTTCAAGTTCAGTTTAAAGAACTGGAAAAACTGAAATAAAATTCCAAATTTTTTCCAGTTTTCAAGGTAGTGCATGAACCCTGATAATTAAAGCAACTTGGTGATTTGTATATCAAACTAAATTATTTATTATAAAGTAATATGTGTTGATATACTCTTTTTCTAGATGTAATATACATAAAAAAAATAAGGTTTCTCGTAAAAAAAAAGAAAAAAACTGCTATGTCAACGTGTAATTGAGGCGAGATGAAGCCAGCTGTTCCCACTTGGTCAATACTTTACTTATATATAAATATAGATTTATTTGTTTTTTTTTTCCAGCCAATTTAACAAATTAGATTTGTCTGTCATTGTTATTTTTGCATCATTCCTGAAAGGAAAATGACATATTTTGTGCCTATTATACAAAGAAACATTAATGGGGTCTATGATACAATATCTGTCTGATAATCATGCCGATAATGTTATCTCTTGTCAAAGGGGATATCTTCTATTAAAAGAAAATAACTTCAGGGATGTATTTCACACGGATTAAAAATTTGTTACAAAATGAATAGGTGCCATCAGAAAGATACAGCTTAGTTCAATTTTTAATCATAGTTTGGGAAATAATCAAATTTTAATACCAATAAAAGGATATGTTACAGATAAATACAGGAACCAAATGATACAAAAAACTAAAGAATTCGGAGATCAAAATGTTGTAGTCATAAATAGACAGATATCTATGCAAAGCTCTAAACTGCCTTTGGTCTGCAGAAGCAAAAGTTGAAGCCGGGACCCTTAGCGCTTAGGTCCTTATGAGATTTTTTTACAAAATCTGTAAATTGTCAAAAATATCATAAGGACCTCAGAGCTACAGTTCTGCAGCTACAAAAGTTGCAGATGAATAACACAGAAACATCAACACCAAATTTCCTAAATGCCAAAATTACATTAAGAATACTACAGAAATTATTAAGGGACCTGAAGTTTATGAAACCTTCCAATCCTTCACAGTTCAAGTTTTTAAGTTGAATACACTACACAATTATTGAAACAAATATATAAGCTGTGAAAAATATATAAGCTGTGACAAATTTAAGTCAACTGTAAAACAGATTGCACTGAAAAATTTCTAGGAAATGAGCCTAAAAATAATTTAAAGATTTTCAAAAATATTTCTTTATAGAATTTTTTTATTAGACGTAAACACTTCAATAGACTCAGGTTGTGGAAGTTCAGGCTAATGATAAATACAGGAGGAATCAGAACCCCAAAAATTGTATATATGTATACATGAAAGTCTACACTCTACTCTACACATCAAGACCCATGATTATATCCTTGTTCCATTGGTTCATCCTTCCTTTAAATAAACTAGAACTGACAGCTAAGCTACAGTCAGGAATAATACTCCTGCATCTCAGGGATCCTAAATAAACTGGAACTGACAGCTAAGCTACAGTCAGGAATAATACTCCTGCATCTCAGGGATCCTTAATAAACTAGAACTGACAGCTAAGCTACAGTCAGGAATAATACTCCTGCATCTCAGGGATCCTTAATAAACTGGAAATGACAGCTAAGCTACAGTCAGGAATAATACTCCTGCATCTCAGGGATCCTAAATAAACTGGAACTGACAGCTAAGCTACAGTCAGGAATAATACTCCTGCATCTCAGGGATCCTTAATAAACTAGAACTGATAGCTAAGCTACAGTCAGGAATAATACTCCTGCATCTCTGGGAACCTAAATAAACTAGAACTGACAGGTAAGCTAGAGTCAGGAATAATACTCCTGCATCTCTGGGAACCTAAATAAACTAGAACTGACAGCTAAGCTAGAGTCAGGAATAACACTCCTGCATCTCAGGGATCCTATAAATAAACTAGAACTGACAGCTAAGCTAGAGTCAGGAATAACACTCCTGCATCTCAGGGAACCTAAATAAACTAGAACTGACAGCTAAGCTAGAGTCAGGAATAATACTCCTGCATCTCAGGGATCCTTAATAAACTAGAACTGACAGCTAAGCTACAGTCAGGAATAATACTCCTGCATCTCAGGGATCCTAAATAAACTAGAACTGACAGCTAAGCTAGAGTCAGGAATTATACTTCTGCATCTCAGGGATCCTATAAATAAACTAGAACTGACAGCTAAGCTAGAGTCAGGAATAAAACTCCTGCATCTCAGGGATCCTAAATAAACTGGAACAACCTATTATATTTCAGTCTTTGATATTACATTAGGCTTTTGTATTTTGAGGCCCAAACTAATAAAATCTGTTTAATTGTATGAGCTTGAGTCCATTAAAATATTTAAGGTACTAGTCTGAACATATTTGCACTGTATTTGGGTCTGCAGACCATTGCTTTTGTCAATGACAACAAATGTACCAAGTTTCATGTACATCAAACATTTTGGGGGAATTTTGCGTTGATGGCAGATCTTTGATAGTTGCTGTTTAATTTAATTCACAGCATTATCAAAAGGTCACATTTTGGCCCTTATTATGTATTAGTTACACAAAAGATCTGTTAAAATGAAAATAGCACTTTATAAATTTGGTGTGTCTAAAGAGCTTTTCGGGATATATACCGGTAATTTAAAGAATGCTCAAATCCAAAAATTAAAAAGCCTGGGTTGTGTTAGTACTTCACAAATTATCTGAACAAAGGAGAATAACATTAACCATCTAGGATCATCTTTGCTAAAGGGATTGAGGAGTTAGAACCTTATATTCTAAATATTTCTGAATTCATTAACAGAATTTTTTTTAAAGCCAAAGTTATAATTAGACATTCAATTCTTACTTACAGGAATTAATCTCATCCATAATTTTATTCTTTAAATTATCCATGGCAGATGGTTTGGCTGTGGAACCAGCCACATCGGTTGCCACGGTACCAGACCCTCCACTACCATTGCCAGCAGACGGTGATGTTGATTCACCTACATCACGACGATACCGATAAAATGGATCCATGTTTAATACAGGCATCTTGGAAACCTCTGAAAAATAAATTAAAAAATTAGTAATAAATCTGATTTTATCTGTGCTACAGAACAATGGTAACCACTACTACAGATTTGTAACTAATTTTTGTGGAATTTAGTGGGTATAAATGATCCATCAATGTAATAGTTTCAAAGAAGTAAAAATTGCCTATAGGCTTGTATACATACTTTGGCCAAACCACAAAATCAAGTATTCACAAAAGCACAATTTTTTCCTCAATCCAAGAATATTCGGGTACCCACAAATATAAATAAATCCACAGTATTAACTAAAAATTATACTTTGAAATGCTGCCATAATGTTATCATCTAAAAAAACAAATGTACTAAATTAAGGTGCATTCTCAGTTTATTCATGTCCATATTGAAATAAGAAAATGTGCTATGATTGCCTAATGAGGCAACTATCCGCCAATGACCAAATGACATCCTCAGCTGATGATAACAACTATAGATCATAGTACGGCCTTCACCAATGAGCAAAACCCATACCACATACTTAGCAAGCCATAATTGGCCCTGACTTTGACAAATGTAAAAGAATTCAAACATACTAGTCAGTTTTGGGGAAAAACTACACCATAATAAACATGGCAGCAAATTGTAATTGACTATTATAAAATTGAGAATGGAAATGGGGAATATGTCAAAGAGACAACAAACCGACCAAAGAGCAGACAACAGCCCAAGGCCACCAATGGGTCTTCAACACGGAGAGAAAATGCTGCACCTGGAGGCGGGCTTCAGCTGGTCCCTTAATAAAAATGTGTACTAGTTCAGTGAAAATGGGCGTCCTACTTAAACTCCAAAACATATAAATATAGCAGGTTTTACAATTTGCCAACCCCCTTTCTGCTTGTATCATACAGTCATATCAGTTCCAATAAATTATGTATCTTGAAGACAATGTCCTTAATCAAAGTGAATGGCTACATTTCAATAATTTTGTCCCAAACTGTTAAATGGGTGTGGCTGTCTAGTTTGTATACATCCTGGCCCCAGCCAATTTTTAAATGCCCTTCATCCACAGTCCAGATCAGAGCTAGTGTACTCTTCATGTACTAATCTACAAATATGTACATTACACCTGAACAGATGCCTCTTTGGAATATATTTACTATTCTACATCTTGTTAACACCTGTATTAGATTCAATCACGATAAATAGAAAATCTTCTCACACCTATCAAATTTGTGATATAAAAATTTAGATCACTGAACTTGGATCAAAAGCATGTACGTCATTTTAGAGAATTTGACGTTGGCACCTTGACAGTAAATTTTTGATTCTCTATTATTATTAAAAAACAAAAAAGTCAAAGGTCTACATATAGTCTCTGTCCATAATAATCTATTTTTGATAGTACATTAACAGCTCCATTTTTACCCAAATTAGAAGACGTAGAAAAATACAAAGCACTCAAATTCATGTACTTTGATCATAGAGCAACACTCAAACTTAATAGGTCCATATTACATGTATTATCATGATTATAATCTATGATTGCATGTAGTTATTTAGAGCAAGCTCAAAGTTACTATTACAGGAATATTTTACTGATATAGTAAATAATTCCATGTTCACTTTTTAACTAGAACCGTACAATTGCAACAGTTCTTTGTATTATTGGTCCCTCCTATTGTATATATGTACTTTTGATAGTTATACATTGCTATACTCTCCAATAAAAGAAAAATATTTTCTAAAATTTATAATTCCTAATTTTCAACTGACCAGTACTAGCTGGTCAATAACCAATCAATACTAGTCTAAACCATATATATAATTCTTTTTATACTTTCACACCTTTTTATCCTTATGATATCAGCATTGATGAAATTTTCACACATTCAGTTCAGTCAACTTCAGCCTCATTCTAAATAAATCATAAGGTCAGTCAAAACTGGAAAAGGTAGGATCTAGTCTAATTTTAGTAGATGTTTACATGATTTGAAAAAAAAACCCCATAGTTTTATAACCTTCTGAACCTTTCCCTGGATCTGCCAATAATGGACATATGGAGGTCCTCTTTTATCCCCCCCCCCAAAAAAAAAAATATATATGTATGGGTTTTGCTAATTGTTGAAGGCCTTACCGTGACCAACAATTGTTATGATCTATGTCATTTGGTCCCTGGTGGAAAATTGTCTCATTGGAAATCACACCACATCTTAAATTAGTTTTGCATCTTTGTTGCAATAGGAGAAAATGTGAGTTTGGTAAGATTGTGGTTGGCAAATATACTTTCTTAAAATCATATAAACAGACAAAAATGTCTACATCCATGGTAGAATGCAAGAAAATGAAATTCTAAAGTTTCTTGAAAACTAAAGAAAAATTAAAGGCCTGAATAAAAAGGGACATTTTTCATAGAAATTTTGGCCCTGGATCATATGGATGATTATGCAAACAGCTCTGTTAGTTTTAACACTCCAGCTAATGCAAGCACACTTGAAATAACAAATTCAGTATTATTTGAATATTTCAATAGCACTCAAAATTTAGTGTGGGAGGTTTAGCTAGCTATAAAACCCACCATTTTCTTCAGAAAATGCCTGTACCAAGTCAGGAATATGGCAGTTGTTTTTCACTTGTTCTGTTGATTGATAGAGTTTGATTTTGTCAGTTTTTATGGACTTCCCCTTTTTATGTTTGCCTTGGAGTTCAGTATTTTTGTTATACTTTTTGAAAACTGATGAACTATTTTATCTTACTCTTTTTTACTATTACAAAAAATCAATTTAAAGGTTAAGGTTATTTAATATATTAAACCATGAAATCGAGTCAGCTTTTATAGAGAATTAATCTTACAAACTTCTGCTCTAGAAAATCACAAAATTGATGAAAAGAAAACCTACTTCTAGCTGTAGTTTGTAATTACCTCAGTACCAAAATCAATATCAATTTTGGGCTATTTTTCTCAATTCAAATCAATCATTCATTACAACATGGTCAATAAATTCTAATTAAATGAATGCAAACTTTTTTCAATCATTAAATATTAGATAAAAGAGATGCAAATTCTCAAATGATTTTTTTTAATCATTATTTAAACATATCACATAAAGACGACTATTTATAAAAGTAGCTCATTAAGATTGGGTGAAAATCATTCGTTACTTAACAACTGAAATTGACGTCAGTCATACATTTCAGAAATCCATTACCCACAGGATATGACTATTTCTACAATTTCGTCGTAATAATCCTCAAAGTAAAAGCAGAAGTGATTTCACCAACTTCCTGGCACTGTACAGAGGGGATATATATGAGCTGCCATTATAAAGATTCCTCAGCCATTGTCAGTAGTGAGCAAATTAACATTAGAGTTTTTCTGAGATCCTCTATTAAAATTAGATTTACACAGAGCCCGTCACAATTTGTTTTCATTAAGTTGGTCATAATGAAATTTGTTTATGAGATAACTTTCTATCTGAATTCTATCTGAATTAATTATAAAGTGTTTTATATTTTGTTGTTGTTGAAACTCAATCAGATTAATTCTCAGGCATCCAAGAAAGAATTCTTTATTTTTTAGGTAACTCTGGATTCAGCGTTTATTTTTACAGAGATTTAAAGATGACACCACCTGTACATCCCCCCCCTCTATCAACAGTACATATGAAGCACTTCTCCTGGAATTTTCATTCAACTCCATATACCAATTAAGGCTCACTCAAAATGAAAGGCCACATTCACCTCGATCTGCTAATGGGACTGCCTCGGTGACAGAGGGAGTCTTCACAGAAAATGTTCAAAACTTTTCAATCCAGAGATCTCTGATCCAGTAATGGGTAAATTAACGAAGTTTGGGGGTACCCTACATCAAATAAAAGACTAAAGTTTACATAGAGTCTTCAATGATGTGAAAAACCCTCATTATTATATATGGTAAACTCTAAATTGGTTCCTATTAAACAAATTGTAAATGCATTCAACTGAGACAACTGCATGAACATCTGGCATCAATTCAAAATTCTGAACAGAAAAAATCACACAACATCAAAAACCACAGATAAAATTCCTAAATTGAAATGAAAACATAAACATATAGCAACGTTAAACTTATTTAATCAGTTCTCCAACCTATATATAAAATATTATTTTATTATTAGTAATAAAGATGTGGTGACTTCAACCTTACACATAACAACAAGCACAACACACCCAATTGCAAGTACTTATTGATCCTCCAAAACATAACATATTTAACATTTACCACAACTGAGACTGCTTTTGTGAGCATTTATTATCAAGGATGGTTGTTCAAATGGATAAAAAAGCCAGATGAATTTTTTTGAATTTAAAAAATGATGCAAACAAATAATGCAATCAAAATTTAAAATGGGAGTTGGCAAAAAAAATCCTGTTGCAATTATAACTTTTGCAAAATTTTAAACATCTCAAAAATTTCTGAATTATCAGTATTCTAGACTCTCTATATGGACATTGTCACAGTAGCAGCAACCATTTTGAATACTCCAAGGTCAAATGGCACTTCTATTATACATGCCAGAACTTTCCTGCCTTTGACCCCCCCCCCCCCCTTTTTTTTCCATTCCCGTAAAGTTTGAGATCTATATATAGTTTGGGAGATCTTTTGAATGTAAAAGTAGACCCACACACGAGGAAGAACGTGGCGTCACATGATGCTCAAGTATATCATCGTGGACTTAGCACATTAAAAGTCTTTTTAGAGGGGACCTTGGAACAGACAACATGTGTATATATTGACGGAGTAGCATACTAACTGTTCATTTTGTTCTTTAATAGGGGTAACGTATGGTTGATCGTGGATCACACGATACATGCATTTGATATGTATTTTATCTTGTACAATTTAATTACATGTTTATCGATTGATTTCAGCCAATGTGTATATTTTAGCAGGTGTTTGAATCCCGGAATTTTGTGTACTTTAATGCAAGTGCAGAAATGTCACTAAAATGTACTCTTAGTGTTTCTCCCTTTCTAGGTCAGAACATCAATCGGGA